CTGTCCTCTGAGACTCAAAGAGAGAAATGGGTTTTTAAAATGTCCGCTTGATGATTTCACTTTCTGTTTGAATCACAGCAGGAAAAAAAAAGATTGATGAGATTGAGATATTGTTTAATAAAACAGCCAGAATCCAAACTCCCCCAAGCGAGAGATCTTAATACAATCTCAAAATGTAAGAAACTCTCGCTTCCATTTTTCACTTTGAATTCTACTCATGCTGCTTGACACGACAAAGGTCAACTCGCTTTCTAGATATCCTTCCATGACCTTCAAAGGGCCTATTTTCTGCTCACACCAACATTAGTATTGTTCCCAAACACAATATTAATAGAATATATCTAAATTACACAGCTACTTCTAAAGTAAAAGTGAAGCTTTATTCATTTTGAGTGGATTTACCGGTAGGTTTATTTGCCTTCTGTCATGAGAGACAGATTCCGATTTCAAAGAGCAAGAGTTAGCTTAGCTTAGCTTAGCTTTGTATAAACTGCTAGCATTGCTCTGTCCAAAGCTAAAGTTTCAATAAGCCTAAAAATAGTTAAAAACAACAACAAGTAGTTGTATAGCAGCTCATCCTTTGCCAAGTAAATAATGAATCACTTTTACTAATTCTACAATTACTCTAACAACAGAGTTCGCTAAACGATGCTCGCTAAACAAGCCTTTATATAAATGCTATGTGTAGTTCAACAGAACTAAGCTGAACAGCTCTGTGCTGCCAATACAGGAAAGAGTACCAATCTAATCTTCTGTCAGCAAAAAATACAACTATTAAAAAATGTTTAATGTTCCATTGATGAGAAGACAAATTAAAAATGTGTTTAAAATAATTTGTCTGTTCTATTTGTGTGTCCAGGCATCTAAAGTTCTCCCCAACATGAAAGGTCTGCAGGGAGGATCTATCTTTCTTGCTCACGGCACAGCTGACGGTACACACTTCGCCTCTTTTCTCCTCATTATTTAAAATAAAGCATAAAGTGTCCTTTTCATACTAACCAGTGTTATTAAAGAAGACGTGAGTCTGTTCATCTGATGGTCGTGTCCTTTTCAACGAGCCTGTCATTGATGTAGATGGTATTAAAACTTGACCTTGATGAGCGCCGAAGCTTTTATATCCAGCAGCTGAATTAACCTCTGGTGACACTGATTTGCATGTTCTCTTCTTTTTTCTACAGCGAATGTTCACTTTCAGCATTCTGCAGAGCTCATCAAACACTTGATAAAGATTGGAGCCAACTATACCATGCAGGTAAAAACTACACTCTAAGAAAAGAACATATTTCATTCATAAAAAAGCTTCTTCATCCGGGACTGGAGACAGAATTAAAATACACCGATTTCACGAGGACCTCCTATGTTCTCCTTTTTTTAATGAATGTCTGTCTTGCCTTTTTTAGTTTCATCTCCAGCCTTCAAAAATGTTTGTGTTTTTTCTTTGATAAACTTGGTCTCTTGTACATCTTCTGAACACTAAGATCCTCCATTGCAAGGCTGGAAAAGCAATTATGAAACACTTCTTAAACAAAAAAAAAACAAAAAAAGATTTTGGTGAAAAAAAAGATACTCTTTAAAGCAATACAAGCAGTGTCATGCTGTTGTTAGACCTGGAGCTATTTACCCGGTTTTTAATGGGTTTTCACTGAGTGTTCAAGGATTAAATGTACTGTCTTGGGTTCATAAAACTTTATTGAACAGACTCTACAAACATCAAACTGCAATAAATTGAAATAAAAAAGCAAATAATTCTTTCAGAATAAAAGCTTTTTTTGACAGAAACCAAAACAAACACTTAAATCAGACGATAAATCGCCACTCAGTGTCTTCTTGCTCACCTTCTTAAATGACTTTCATTTGCAGATTGAGTTTGCTTTTTTGTCATAGAGCTAATAGTGATGTCAAAACTGCAATTATTCTGAGCATTTAATTGTTTTAATGTGTATGGTGGTTAAATGGTAGCTGATGAAGAAGAAGACTGTCACTCAGGTCAAACTAACAAGCTATTAAGTAGACCTGAGTCCGAATAGATCCTTGATTTATTCTGCCATGAAACAAATCAACTCATGAACTGGTATTCCAAAAGTTTCTCTGTGCACACCAAATTGATGGTTTTGTATCTTCTTTATTCGTGCATCCCTTGTGTTTTTCTGTCAGATTTACCCGGACGAGGGACACTTTCTGTCAAAACGCAGCCGGATTCAGCTCACTCACTCCCTAATTGGTTACTTTAGAGGATGTCTGCTCGACGTATCATCATTACTCGACCAGGAAAAACGGGACGACGAGTGAGAGGCAGCGTGTGTGTGAGTCTGTTTGTTTAGGTGAGTGTGTGCCCCTGGTAAATAGAGTGTGTGTGTTTTATACCTGTAGCACAAACGTTTGACGGACTGGAGATGCTTCTTTACAACATATCAGTCTACTTATCGTCATCTTCTTAGTAGGATATAACTCCTTTAGTCACTTTTGTCAGAAACGGTTCATTTTGGGGTTCAGGCAAGATTTTAAATTCTATAAAATGTGGCTGAAGTTTGGTGGAGAAAGTGCTTAAAATATACATCAGCTCTGATGGCCCTCCAGTCATTCTGACGGGTTTCTGTCAGCAGTATTTGTGTGACTTGTTTTTCTGTACTATACTCATGTGTTCACCTTCCAACCTTTTGTGAAACCAGGCTGCCTTTGTTAACTCTATATGCTAGGTTGTTTTTTTTGCCTAGTCTTACATCAGTAGATTTTTAGGAGCCTGTTTTCTTGATTATAATCTCTATGAAACCTCCATTCAACGGGCCTGGATCATAGTAAAGGAAGTGTTCAAGTTTGTAGTACGTTGGCAGTCTGAGTAGTATTGACCAATCACGTATCAGCAGGCAGCGGTGTATGCAGGAAAAAACAGTCAGTATGGAGATCAAGCAGGTGGAATCAAAGATGGCCTGGCTCCCATCGGTGATAATCCGACATCGTTCTCTATAAACAGCTATCTACAAGTACGTAAGTGCAGCTAACAATCTATTCATGATCAATTCACTCAACCTTAACAACAAATCGTCTTGATGCTGTGTTGCAAGAGACAATCAGCATCCAGATTGAATGCATCAGAAAAGTTGTTTGTGAGGACAGACCTGACAAAACTTTCACTTCAACTTTTTACAAATTTGCATCATGATGTCGACACTTCAGCCAATTTAAGACCCAATAATTTCAAGTAAACTACAAGAAAGTAGGTTTTCTCTTCCATGTTTATATCAACCAAGACGTCAAACTCTTGCTGGTTTACAGTTAAACTGAGACTCACAAGAAAAAGTCTGAAACCACTTATTACTCTTCATCAATGGAAAAGGTTGGTAGAATATTCACTTTGTTTAATTCACTTGAATAAGTAATCGTGCTAATTTATTATCAAAGTGTCTAACGGTTGCTCCAGATAAATCTTTTCAAGTGCAACTTCTCGTCATTTTGCCACCACTTTGTGCTTAAAATGATTTTCTTTTTCTACATTAAACAAACACTTCAGGTTTGTTGAGTTACCCATAAACCTTTGCAGTGAAAGGCATCATAAGTGTTATAGCACAACGGTGGCTGAGAGCGTCCTTCACTATGGTTATGAGAGCATTTCAGAAAATTACCTTCAACCACACACGGGAGCCATAAATGCGCTGAGCTGAATGTCCTTGATGCTTGTTTTTTAGTTTTTAGACATTTGGTCTGTGGTTTAATGTAAGAATGAAATCAAGAGAAACTGGTGATTACCGGAATACAAAAGCTGTGGTAACCCCCTTATGGTTGGCTTTTGGTTGTCATGCCAACACACCTCTGAACAGCTCTTTGAAGTTGTGTGTATCAGCTTTGAGTCCGATTTAGAGACAAACTGTATCACGTTGTATTTATTGTTTCTATCAGGGTTTGTACTGTGAATTCAACTTAATTTATTTTGTTTTAGGGGCGAAGCAGTGTGGGTGAGGGTTAATTGATGAAAACATGTTGTATTTTCTGGCTGTTTTAATATTAAAGAACAAATACATTAGCCATTCATGTCTTTGAATTAATTTTTTTCTTTGCATGGGTTTAGTAAGGGATTAGCCAAATCCCTTACTGAAGTGTTAAAAGAACAAATACAGAGGTCTTTTTTGCTGTAAATACTAATTTCTGTCAATTGTATCTGTTAATTGCCCTTTTGCCGTACAGTACTCGGCAAACATCAGACACAAACAACTTTGAAAATTCCCTGTATCCTTCTAAGCTTATAGTTCAGTCTCTCTCTAACTTTCAGACTGAGGAGGATGTTAGAGGAGAACATTCAGGACACTCATGCAAAAAAGCAAGAATGTTTCTTTATCTTCCTCTCTGTCCTTTATAAATCCCTCGTCCACACACTGCTGAGTCTCTGCTCAGATTGAGTCTTAATTACTTCAAAGCAATTACAGAGCCAAAGATGGAGGAGTCATCCGCTGAGGAAGGACAGGAAAAGTCCAGTAGAAACTGTAAGTAATAACCTGACTTTACTGTTGGTCTTCTGGTGGTACTTTTACTGTAACAGGAGAAATTTGCCCAAATTATGACCTTCATTCAGAATATTACTGTCATCAGTCTGACCTGCAACAATATAAATTAACTCTTTCCAAAACATTGAAGTGTTATTCTGCAGCACATCTTTTCATACATTTAGCCAGGGATTATCCACATAATGTTGCCATTGACTGTATTGTATATGGTATATTTTTAGTTTGTTGTGTGCATCTCACCTTCTCCCCTACACTGTAGTTGTAATAGGTAACACCACACTGCCATCTTGTGGAAGAACAACCACAGCACACTAAACTGGATTAAAAGTGTCAGATCTTTTATTTACTCAATAACTGGGCTTTTGCACAAGTTAAAGATTATGTGGAAATAACAGGAAATGTGACTTGAGTTTAACAGTAATGACTTACAGCCTCGTTTCCTGTTTTATTTATGGATGCAGTGCACTGAAGTTCAGCTTTAGGCAAGAAAGATTTGACCAGGAATTGTAGATTTGAACAGCTTTATTTAGAAAAAGCATTAAAGGCACATCCTCTCTCATATCAGAGAGTCTTCTTTTAACCAGACAACTGCTCCTTGCAGTAACACGAGTTGATTAGTGGTCTACATATCAACACTTCAAATGAACCCGTTACATGAAGGAGAGCTTTACACTGTCTTTAATACTCCTCCCCCTCCTCGTCCTCCTCAAATGAGTCGACTCCGACCTCCTCGTAGTCCTTCTCCAGAGCGGCCATGTCTTCTCTGGCCTCTGAGAACTCGCCCTCCTCCATCCCCTCCCCAACGTACCAGTGGACGAAGGCCCTCTTGGCGTACATGAGGTCAAACTTATGGTCGAGTCTAGCCCAAGCCTCCGCGATGGCGGTGGTGTTGCTCAGCATGCACACTGCTCGCTGCACCTTGGCAAGATCTCCTCCAGGAACCACAGTGGGAGGCTGGTAGTTGATTCCCACCTTGAAGCCTGTGGGGCACCAGTCCACAAACTGGATGCTCCGCTTGGTTTTGATGTGACAGATAGCAGAGTTGACATCTTTGGGAACTACATCACCACGGTACAGCAGGCAGCAAGCCATGTACTTTCCATGACGTGGGTCACATTTGACCATCTGATTGGCGGGCTCGAAGCATGAGTTGGTTATATCTGCAACAGTGAGCTGCTCGTGGTAAGCTTTTTCTGCAGAGATTACTGGAGCGTAGGTCGCCAACGGGAAGTGAATTCTTGGGTAGGGCACCAAGTTGGTCTGGAACTCTGTCAAGTCCACATTCAAGGCACCGTCGAAGCGCAAAGAAGCTGTGATTGATGAGACAATCTGGCTAATGAGGCGGTTCAGATTGGTGTATGACGGGCGCTCGATGTCAAGGTTCCGGCGGCAGATGTCGTAGATCGCCTCGTTGTCCACCATGAAGGCACAGTCAGAGTGCTCCAGGGTGGTGTGGGTGGTTAGGATGGAGTTGTATGGTTCAACTACAGCTGTGGACACCTGAGGAGCTGGATAGATGGCAAACTCTAGTTTGGATTTCTTGCCGAAGTCGACAGAGAGGCGCTCCATGAGTAGGGAGGTGAAGCCAGAGCCAGTTCCTCCTCCGAAGGAGTGAAAGACGAGGAAACCTTGGAGCCCGGTGCACTGGTCAGACTGGAATTGAAACACAGAATCTACCGTTATTACTTCTGGTCAATTGTGTTCCCTTTTGTCTTAATGCAAATCAAATCCATGGTCTCTTGTGAATTTTGACTGAAAGACAAAAAGGGATTAAGATTCATACCAGTTTGCGGGTCCTGTCGAGCACAGAGTCTATGTGCTCCTTCCCGACGGTGTAGTGACCGCGGGCGTAGTTGTTTGCGGCGTCCTCCTTTCCTGAGATCAGCTGCTCAGGGTGGAAGAGCTGGCGGTATGTGCCTGTACGCACCTCATCTAGAACACAGTAAAGACAAGGATGAGGAAATATGAAACCGTTTTAATTATGATAAAGGTTTTGGAGCTTGGATACAACTTGTCAAGTTATATAGATTTTGTGCATTTAAACCGCAAAGATGAGCCATCTTGCAGCATTCTTTGGTGCTTTTCATTTATTTAGCAAAAATGCATACATCCAACAAAAGGCAATACGCTATACCTGGTTTATCTTTGCTTTTTTCCTGAAGTGAGCCTCTGAGATCTGATTGGCTGATTCAAACTCAAGTGGGAGTGGGCACAGTACACATGAGCGGCCTTAAAAATGTGAGTTGTCCGAAATTAACTTAGGCCAAAATATATATTCATTAGAATTTGAGAAACTTTAATCAGCTAGTTTTATCCTTATAGCCATATTGTCTTTAAAGTTACTTTGACTAAAAAAGTCTCCGTGATAAATTAACTGCCTAACCACCTTTTACCAGCTGTCAAGCACGACCTTCAAACACTGACTCACAGGTTAACAAGTCAAAATGCATATCTTCTTTTATGTTTTTGCCCTGAAGCTTGAAGGAATTCCTCTTTGACTCACCAATAACGGTGGGTTCCAGGTCGACAAAGATGGCTCTTGGGACATACTTCCCAGTACCGGTCTCACTGAAGAACGTGGTGAAGGAGTCGTCGTAGCCAGTGGAAGGCTTGCTGGGCATTTGGCCGTCCGGCTGGATGCCATGCTCCAGGCAGTAAAGCTCCCAGCAGGTGTTGCCCATCTGGACCCCAGCCTGGCCGACATGTATGGAGATACACTCACGCTGTGGAGGAAAAAGAAGAGGTTTTGTTAAAGTTTTATTCTTCACTTCTCTTTCTTGATGTTAAACCCCTGTAAACATTTACTGCCTTCCAGTTGGAACATGTCAAAATTACCACTAAAACAAAACTCATTTAAACTTCTTATCTTTCTTTAAAAACAAAAAACACAACTGTTGAGAGTATAGAAACAGGGCGGAGCCAGTGACTAAACCTCATTTGAATTTTAAACATACAAGTAAAACCGTTTTGCTGGTTAGCTCAATGACAGTACATGTGCTTTAAACTTGTCTTAACCTTCAGGAAATGTCAGCTGCCAGCTTATGACCCCTTGTGAAATATTTGCAACAGAATCTAAGTTCTCTACATAAAACTGTTACGACTTCAAAGTAGGATGTAACAAGTCTAATCAGGAGTCAGCAATCTGAATACGCAAGCAGACGTGATTAACACCAACATGTAAAAGTCTCTGTGGGGACCAAAGTGCTCCCACACCCTGCTGAAGTATGTCTATGCCTTGTAAAGATGTGGGTGTGGAAGGGGGAGGAGTTTGAGGGGGCAGTGGGTGAGGCTTGGAGAGGACTGGAACAAGTTTGGTCTCATCATTTATACAGGAAATGTGGTCTGAGGGAGTTAAAAAGCAACAACTTCTGCTCAAGTCGGCCCCATTTCAGAGGAACTTAAAAATGCCAATGTAACAAGAGACAGAAAGTCAATGCAAACCCCCCATGATGTACCAACTTGGGTGTTTGCTTTAATGCAGCGGCTAGTCTGTCAACAAGAGGCCAGCTGTTTCTGCTAACATGAGACAAACATGTCAAGAAAAAATAAATGGCATGTGCCCCTCTGTTAGAAGTCTTTCATACCTGCCAAGACTAGAGTTGGAGTAAACTAAACCCTTGTACTTATGTTAAGTAAATAATTTGTTTTATGAGGTTACTTAATGGCAGCTGTGGCACCTCTGACCTAATTTCTGAAGAGAACACACAAGCCAGTGAAAACTTCATGTTGTGAAATTCTAGAGTTGGCCCTCTTATAGAGTCTAAAGCTGAACCTGAAAACATCCAGACAGGGCAGCGCGCCATGTTTTTCCAGTGAGGCCTCTTTAGAAAAACAAACAACCAGCTTTCAATAGAGCACAGCAAAACATGTCAATCCTCTGAGAGGGTCTCTGGGTCTGATCAGCAGTCTTAACATATATTTGACTTAGAGAAAGTTTTTAATCAGGAATGATCTTTAGGAAGTGGATTTGTAGTGTTTGACCTACTTTCTTTAAACAAAGCCTCACATTGAAGATTTGTAAGATTTTCTTGTAAATATTTTAGTTTTGAAATGAGTGATAGAGTGACTCACTTCCATTATAATAAATACAGTATATAAAAATAGTATTCCCTCTTTGGAGGTATGATGACAGATTTTAGCAGAAATAAAAAAATACCTGATGTGTTTTGATTTTGAGATTGTACACAAGTCATTTGTTAATATTAACATTAGTTTAAACAACTGTATTAATCCCTCTTAGGGAAATTGTTTTGGAGCAACTAAACTTTAAAAAGGAATTAAACAGTGAGAAACAGACGACAACACTATCTTATATATACTAAAATATTTACATATTTGGAATTGTTAGCATGAAGTAATTGATAAATGGGTCAAAATTTGTTGGAATTATTTAAAATGGCTTGAAGCACAGGGCCCACTTAAAACCTACAAATCTCCAAACAGGACTACAAATGAACTGTTCGCTTGTATGAACCACCACAGACAAAGAGTGGACAGTTTTGATTTATAGTTTTCATTCTAGACTTCGGCTTGTTTTGAATTTGGATCCCTTTTTCCTCCCCTCCCCCCTAAAAAGCTTGGGATAGGACGCAGCGGGGCGGGGTTGCTGTCTGACACCATGACAGGGGAGTTGCCAAGTAAGGCGATGGCAGCCAGCTCAGCAGCTGGCTATTTTGAGGGAAGCTTCAATCATGCAACCCACAGAGAGACAGTCAGATACACTCTAACCCAGTGATTTGGGAGAAGATAGGAGGGGGGTTGCAAGATGCATTTAAAAAACATAAATAAAAACTCAAAAGTATTTTCAACTTCATATTTTACTCATTATTGTAATACTGTACATGTATATATGTACAAACAAGAAGTTCATTTAAAAAATAAAATAAAACCATATTAATAAAATTAGATTGTGCTGAAATGTAATAACTATGTAAACAATCCTTAAAAACAATCCTTAAATGTGTTTGTTGCTCTTATAATAATGAAAATGCACACCGACATCACCCGTGTGTCTGTTCAAATTTGTTTGTCTACTCCTGGAGATCACTCGTATTTGTCCTCTGGCGTTTATTACAATAAGTTACCAAAATGAAAGTTGGTTTTCAGGCTGTAGGATTCTTTTGTGTTGTTCTAATGCTTGTGTTTGGATAGGCTTAGTGTTTGTGCTTTGATGCGCACAGTTATAGTCTTTACACGGCTCCAGGGACAGTGTGGGCCCCCCAGTGTCTACCCCACTGACCTGTTAGTACTGCAGCCTCAGCGTCTGTGTCCACAGACCGCACCCATCACCTCACTTTCAGGGCGCATCTGACCACCCCTTGTTGCTAGGTTACAAAAGTGTACTATATGCTCCCACCTGTATAATGACCATTAGGTGTGTTTTAGATAGATCAGTGTGCTTAATAATTGGTTTTATTCAAGGAACCATCACCATGCAGACATTCAAATAATATTAGGTTTCGTGTTCTGACATACGCAGCAGCTCTAGACCTGCATCCTACGCCATTGTTGTTGACAATGGCTGAAATTAGAAGCCCCGCCCCTTATTGAATTTGATTGGTCAGTGAGGGAGGAGTAACATTGATAAACTCCGCGTTATTCCGAAACTATTTCCAACTGCGTGCACTGCGACACAAAACAGCTGACGCAGAGGGCGTGTTGGCGCGCAGGATGTTGAACTACAATGACATCGTATTGGAAATAAGCTCTGACAGCTCTAAAAAAAGGCCCGAATGAAAATACACATGTTATGGACAATTTGCAAGTATAATAATAATTTGTAGTTAGGAGTGTAGTGTAGGCAGCCTATATTCTAACTTTATGTTGGCTGTAGGCCTATGTAAAAAAAAAAAAAAAGTGTGGAAGTGGAGCTCTGTTAGCTCCGGTGTTAAAACCGGTTACAACACGCCACATCCGCTCATGTTAACACAGACACACGGCCATTGAAATCAGGTCTAGGGCGGTAACATGTGCCAACCCCCTTCTATGATACATCCACGCGGAAAGGCCAGTTATTATCTACTTCCTGTATCTTGTCTTTTAACTGCGTCACAGATGGCGTTTGAGGGCTTAAAAAGACAGAGAAGCATTGTGCGGCAAGTCTGCGGTGTACCAAGAAACCCGCACAATCGGGTAAAACTCATGACTTCACGAATGAAAATTCATTGTAGGGATTAAATTGCCCCTTAGACAGATCTGAAGCCAGAAAACAAAACGCGACAGATTATTTTAAAGTGGAAAAGCAACTTTGTAGACAGGACCCCCCCACCCCCCCCCACCCCTCTATGTTGTATTTGGCCCAACAGGATGCGCCATCATAGTGGGAAAAACAAACTTTTCCTCTCAAAGACACTTCTTTGATCCACTCCTGACTTTCCAAAATGGCCTGAAAACCTCTCAGCACGTCACAGAGTTTGAAAAAAGATAACGTCAAAAAGGGAAAAGGTCATCGTCCTTAACTCCAAAGAATGAACTTCAGACTCTTCAGCTCTTTTAAAAATGTTAATCCCAAGATTATAGTCATGCGCCTGCCCTCACAAATATGCATGTGAGCTGCCTTTTGTGTGGATTTTTTTTTTTTATTTTTCAACACGTGGTGTGTCTCTTTTATGCGTTAATCTTTCAGTCTAACACCACGGGTATGCAGCAGCTTATCAGCACAATGGTGAGCAGCAGAAATAGAAATGTACAAATGCACAAGCGGCCTCTGAAAGCCACATCAGCATTACCAAAAGCAGCCACACAAACGGGCAGCAATGGCCTCCAGTGCCCATATGGAAACTGTTAACCTATACTGGAGCCAGAGCCACATGTCTGGTAACGTGTTTCCACTGATTGACTTTATGTTTAAAATTATTCAATGGCGTGTATGTGATGCAGCATCACATACACGTCTGGAAAGTAAAGTAGAAATATTTTACGAAAGATTAAGTTTAAAAACATTTTGGAGGGAAACTAACAGGAAATCCACCATTATTACACAAGACCAGATGAAAAGTCACTTAAACACTCAAAAGTAGCGCCTATAATACAGAAAAAAATTGCCGTGCGCATCTTAGTGAAGAAACGTCAGTAATAGTGCGTTAATACTCACCATGATGCTGTTCGGATTGTCTTTTATTTGAAAGAAGAAGGAGAAGAAGTTTTAAGTCTCACAGTGCACCTATAATGAGAGCCCTGTGAGTCGAGTCCTGTCATAGGGTGACGCACACACATTTATAGCCTCTGCAGGAGGGGGCGGAGGAGGATAAGGAGGAACCTTCAGTGAGATATTGCTTCCTGTTTGACCTCTTCAGAGTAAAAGCAACATCCCATGGCTCTCACATGATCCTGAAGTGACATTCCAGAGGTGCAAGAGTGAGTTCAATCCCCTTCAACTTCAATCTTTATTTTAGACCTTTAACTCCAACAATCCTTATTTAAAAAACTAAATTAACTGAAGTTAACCGTGCTTTTATTCCCTCTGACACCGATTGACAGACAAAATTGGGCCAACAAGAATTGTTTTACCCTTTTAACGTCTCATAAAACATGTTAAAACAACTATTTTTATGTGAATAATTAATCAAAGGTTCTTGTATTCACTCCCTCTTCCTTGTATAACCCTGTGCTCCCTTTTTTTCACAAATAGTATGTATGGTTTTGTTCTGCTCTTTACTTCACGCCTGAGATGGTTGATATGGTTTAGAAGTACTTCATATATCTTCATGTATTACTCTTCATTTCTCATCTTATATTCATTTCTCATCTTATATTCTTATTGTATTTGTTTTCAAACATTTGTTAAATCATACAAAACATACCCGTAGGTAAACCTTTAGCCAAAGTTGACTCAATGCTAAGCCCATAATTCTCTCCACACATGAAACAAGATAAGCAAGCCCTAAGTGGACATACTGATATGCATTTTATTTCTCTCTGTTTTCCAGATAGTGGATTACTCTCCTTGTTCCCTAAAGATTTCAACTAATATATCTCGTTATCTTGGGCTAACAACGCTGGTTTTCTGTGATAACGATCTCAATAAATTAACTGGGAAGCAGGCGTTGTTATCCTGACACAACAAGATAAATACGTCCAGAGAAAACTACCTAAATGTTCTTTTTGTCACAGGAGAACTGAGTAAAATAAAATGTATGGATGAAAGTGTGTTAGGGCTCCTGTAATAAGATATACACGTATAAGTATCTACCAGTACTTCAGATACCTAAAGAAAGACTTGAAAAGGCCCACATTAGAATATCTATTAATTCAACTGTTAATAGTTGTGCTGTTTAATGCCTTTAAATGTAGGCCTCATTATAGATATTTTCTCTTCATAAGCTTGGAGATACAGGGTCAATGTTTCTTATTTTATAAATATATAATAATTTATTAGTTGTTTTTTTATACTGATTTGTCCGCAGTATTACTGCAGTGATTCCATTTGATGCAATACACTTTAAAGTCACTAGATGGAGTCCTTGTCATGTTTATTTTGCATCCAGCACATTGACTGCTTAAGAATACCATATATGACATTTATATTATTGTTTTTGTCTTCATCCTGTTGTATTGTTATGTCTTAGATCAGCTTTTTTTGAACGTTTACACTTTATTTGTATGACAATGGACTTTTAGGTCACAGGAACACATTCGTTATAATGCACAGCAGCAAGATCTGTATTTACAAATAAATTGTTTTTGGCAAAGGTTACTTATTAAGGAACAAATTAAAAATCACGCCCACTGCACTGCATCGAATAAGTGGAAGATTAAGACAAACTTAGAGCCTGATGTATGCAAGCATATTGTCCTTTTATAGCCATCATACTTTCCCTAGTTTTTACCTAGTGCATGACTCAGCTGCTTTCTTGGTGTCATTTTTTGTGCTTCAATATTTAAAATGTGCTTTTTTCTGCAGTTTGTGTCACATGCATATACTTATATATGTTCTAGTCCTACTGATGCATATGCTTAAAATAATATTCTAATAGTGTCGAGCTGGTGGATAACCTGTTTTTTTATCATTATTATTATCCTTTTCTCTTAGAAGGAGATTTGCAGCAGCACTTGAGATGAGATTTTATGACAGAAGGTCCAAGGGAAGAAAGACAGTTTCTGTCTCTTAAATTCACTTATCTCACTTTGTGAACTCCACCTGTCCATCACTCTTTACAGGAATGCAGAGCTGATCCAGAAAGGCTTCAGAGGCCGGAGCTCATCACTGCAGGTCTTCAGCTCTGAATGTTAACGTCCTCATAATCTTCAAACAGACCCTCCAGTCCTCCCGGAGCCTATAGCTTCATCCCCTGAACACCTCATTCCTCTTCAAACACTCCTGTAAGCATCTTTTTCGTTTTGGGTAGTGGAGATATTTTTTACGATAAGCGGATAATGGAGATCTTTTTCAAGTCTTGTGTTTTGTCCTCCCGCCCCCTTGGGGGTCCACAGATTACTTTTCTTTTACATCTTCCTCTGCAGTGAGGCTGTAAACTGTTTCTATCCCTCACTTTCCCCCACAGTGTGGGAGCTTTTCTTTGTTGTATTGTTATAGACTCAGATGTACAGATAGTATTTGGGGCAAAGGATCTAAATGATTTCATATGGGGGGGGGGGTCTAAAAACGTCCATTTTGCATAATTAAAGTTATTTTAAGTTGGATCTTTTGTCATCAAATGGCATGCATAGCAAATAAAATAACTGGTGTGTAAAATTCAAGATAAACAATGATATAAAACGGTGGTTTCCAACCTTTATTTCATGGAGACCTGCATACTTGTATCTAAGAGAAGCTGAGCCCCCTTGGGACCCACACACAAAATATAAGTATCTATTTTTATTGTTTTCATTAATAAAATCTCAACATCTGCATTAATTATTCAGTGAGCGTGTTATCAGGATTGTAGTTGATATGTGCACTAATTTTGACAACCTCAGACAAAGCCTAATCATTTGTTGTGCTAAATCCCTTTCGCACAGTATAATTAACTCCCTGTTAATAAGTGAGCTCTGGTTTTGGGTTAAAAGGTCGAGTGGTATATTTCAGGTTCTTAATGCATCATCTGGGATTCTCCGTTTGTTTTCTGTCCTTTTTGGGGGGGCAAATTAATCACCCAAACCACTCATTCAAGTGTTTTGTTGATTGCTAGCTGTTAGCAGAAATGCTAATTTCAGTAACAGACTCCCTGAAGGATTGTCCCAGAAGAAACAAGAAACTTCAATCCCCTTCCATAAATGTCTGTTGTTACAATGACAGGGGGATTTATTTGTTAAGTGGACCCTTCATTGTGATCAAATACTAATCTGTTTTAATATGAAATCCACTTGTTAGCGTTCCTAAACAAATAAAGCTTTTGAAAAGCGTCAGCGCCAAGCAATTGAGAAGCAGCCATGTTGGTGAGATGCTGGTATGACTTGAATATAAAAAATCTGAGCAGTCCAGAAAAAAGCGTACTATTTAAAGATATTTCTCCTAACTCAATAAATCCATTATGAGCCTGTGTTAGGCTGTAACGATAGCTCACAATATGATTAAAAAAACAATACAAATCTGCACCATTTAAATTGATTTGACAAAAATATATATAGCCATGCTTTTTTCAACCAGAAGAGAGCGCTGTCTTCCTTTGGCTTCTCTTTTTCCATAGCTCCTCTGTTGTTGGACATCAGTAGTTGAAGCTGTAGCCTTGATCAGAGTCACTTTTCTTAAAGAAAACAAAAACGTCTGTTTTATTGGTAACATAACAACCCTTAAATTAAAAAGTAGAACTTATATTTCTAACAAAACATGGGGGAAAGGGATATTTTTTCTTTTTTTGTCAGAGAATTGAAACAAAATAATCATATTAAATTATAAATTTATTTCAATCTCATGTCTTTGTAATAATTGGACAATTGTGATAAAATCATATTGTGAACCGTAAATTGAGTGTATGGTAACATCCTTATAATCAACTAAAAGGCATAGATATAGATACATGCTGAGTAAAATGTTGTTAACAAAGCTGTTTTTACCATCATTTTAAAGATCATATCTATAAAGTGTATAAATATATAAAGTAAAACGGATGTTCCACTGCTTGTTTTATTACCTGCTGCTGCTTATTTAAACCGATATCCTGTGATACTAAAACTCTTATATACACTTTTTGATTTAAACCAACAACCTGTAATTATGTGTTGTACATATCATGGTTAACTTTGAGCATATAAGAAGAGTTCTATTATTTTTTAAAACATCTTCATATCCACCATACACCTTGGATATATTTGAGATTAATTTTTGGGACACATGTTTGAGTGTTGATGATTGACCAGTTTTAATTGACTGGCAGTGAAAACAATAAATATTGGGACATTTCAAGTGCACCATTTGGAGAACAGATGACAAACAAATGATTCACATGAACAGCTCGATCAAATGCTAAATATTTGTCTCATCATCACTAATCTGTTATAATCTGTATTGGATTACATGTTGAAAGTGAACGGGGGTCCCTGCCTGTAAATCCGTCTTGATGCTGGCGGTCTCTGTGCTGGCCGTGATAAGGGGTTAAGCTGTATTGAAGCTGGATGGATGCAGAGATCAAAGTCAGCGGTCAGAGCCGCTCACCAGTCGTGCTCTTGAGATAAAAATACCTGATGCTCCTGTGCCGCCTCGACCTGCCGGAGGGCTTCAGGTGGCGTCAGCCCTCCACATAAACACACACACACACACACAAACAACCTCTTCCCTGCAGCTTTTGAACCCAAATGAACACCAACAGGTAGATTTTTAAGCTTTTTATTCTGAGATCGTCGAAATTTACTTTTTCGCCTCATTTTATTAAAACGATAAAACCTACATTTCTGTAATGACCGATCGAATAGAAAAAGTACAAAACAAAAGTCATTGATTTTAACCCGAGTCTGCTGGTGTTCTGTTGAGATGTGCTGGCCTCTCAAATAAATGTACTGCTTTGACCACATTGGGTGCCAAAATCAACATGAACAGAAGCTTCCTCACAGGAGCTTTAAGGGAAGTACTCGAAGAAATGTTTTTACCGGTAGTTACTTTTAATTATTGGTAATTTCTTCTTTTAATAAACTTCATTTAGTATTTAGCATCAATCTGAATGTCTGTAATGCTTAATGATGCATTTTCTAACATTTCCATCCTTGTAGGCTCTTATGTAATCGTAGTATTCAGAAGTTTTTTTTTTATAAACCTATAAAATTGTTATTTTGACTTTGAAACATTTGTATGCTCTCTCTCTCTCTCTCTCTCTCTCTCTCTCTCTCTCTCTCTCCGCCTGTCAATCAGCATCTCCATCAGAATAAATTGGACTTTTATCCAATACTGCTATTGATTAATTTCTATCTCTTCCCGCCACGCCACAGCATTGAACAGCCCCCACTATTGATCTGCAGGCCTATTAAATCCTCCATGGGAACATCATCCTGTTTTTTTTATATAAAAGACCTTTTCCAAACCATAAAATCAATCATTTTCTGCCGTATATAAGAAAACACATGTGGCATTGTTAGAAACAAGAATGAGGCTGCGTACCAATCAGCTTGAATGATGTATAATGATTTAATTTCTCCCTTGAGATGTGATTATGATTCAGTAGGTATTTACACCACCTACAGATTTGGTTGTTACCTCTATACAGGGGTTTTTAAGGACCCAAAAGTTTTGATTTAAACAGACTGACAGACTTTTTCCACGTGAGGATGTCGAACCGGAGGTTAAAGATTTTATTTATGGGACTTGTATTTTTAGAAAAAGTGGCAGTACACTGACATTCTTTAATGCCACATATAACCTACAGGCTGCAGAAATGTCAGGCAGCCAGGGGCCATAGACACACTCACAACCCCCCCCCCCCCCGACACACACACACGTAATACTCATATCTTCATGTAATAATGTATTAGAATTTCCCAGCTGCATGCCACAATGCAAATACGTAGCTTTTATGGAATAAAAAAATTAACAAAAAGTGGATAATGCATGCATTCTTTTAGGTATTTCTCCATAGTAATCTATAAAAGGTCACATTTATTTACTGTAAAGTGATACACCTGTATAAAAACAAATCAAAAACTGTTATATTATTCTATAATATAGAACACTGTCACATGAAAACCTAAAAAGATAGCTATTAAAAATAAACTTAGGAGGATTTTGCATCAAAATTAGACAAAGCAGTAGCATATTTTTTATTTTGTTGTGTATATATTAACATATGCTTCAGATAATTTACTTTGAATTTAATCTCTAAGGTTTGGTTTATATTTTAAAGACATAATAAGATGAAATGAAGAAGAAAAATCCAGCAGCAATATCGTTAATTTATTTATTAAAACATGGACAATGACAGTTAACTTTGATCTACAACATCCTACCAAATATGTGTCTATGATATTAATCACTATAGGACTAGTATGAGGTTTTTTTTTATTATGAAAGGGACACACTGGTATCAAAACTTTATCTACACGGTCTGAGAAGAACAAAATAATGATTTGAAATTGGTTGACAAGGCTCTTTAGCTGCCAAATGTATCAAAATTAAATAAAGTAGGGATATATTTTTATTTTACATTTGAGGAAAACATGATTCAACAGCTGAAATTTAAACTTGAATTTGTTTTCAATGCAGTGCACAGATGTCAAACTGTCCAGAATGACATGATGGAAAAAAAACGACCCCTTGTGATTTCTCTCTTGTCTCTAAAATGGCAGCGTGTCGAGGAATAACTTATCTATTATTGCAGGCGGCGGCACCAGATCCTCCAGCTTCAGGTAGAAAATCCTCTGCAGGCCCTGGATGCACAGAGTGCGGAGCTCTCGCAGTTTTTCCAAAATTCTGGACAAAGAGTTGGACCAACAGTCTGAGCCTCCGTCTCTCTCCTTCAAACATTTAACGATGTTGTTCTGCAGCTCCTCTACCTTCGTCGGCTCCTTCAGTCCATGCCGCTCTGATGGTCCATTAGTCACATTGCAGCCACAGGTATGAGGAAATAAAAACATCAAAATAGCGATTGAAACATTGAAAACAAATATTTTATAAGAATTACAGGTGAAGTCATAAAAAAAGTAATGTGTTTCTGTCCAAAACATTTAGCCTGTTACTTTTTGTAACAAGTCAAAAGGTTGTAAGTTTCTGTTCTTTGCTTTTTCACATTTTCACATTTATCTATCACTTTGGGCTCACCAATTTGACTGTTTATTATTAATAACAATAATGAATGACTACTCCAACATCTATCATCATTATCAGTTAAAGCTCCATTAGTTAACCATTTAGCCCTAAGCCCGCTTTTAACCAACTTTTACAGTTTTTGACTTTTTGTTATTAATTTAAACCTTTTAGTCGTTATATCAAGCTTTCTACCCGAGCCCTTTATCCATTAACTTGATATATTTCTGCAACCAACATTAACTAATTAACTCTACAGTTTTCAACTGTATGTTCATATATTAAGTGTAAAGGCTTTTAATTAGCATGGTAAGTGATGCTACCCATTAAGACCTCCCCACTAGCTTTTGATCCTATTTTTTTTTTACGTGTCATCAATCGTAACACAAAGGATGTAAGTGCAAAGGTGTCACACCAAACTCAATCAACGACGTAGAGCACAGTGCTCAGTTCTGATGTGTCCTACAAGAATATGGGCAGCTTAAACTTTAGAAAAAAAGTTAGTTTTCAAACTAACTAAATTGATGTCTTTCTGCATTATTTGATAATTAGCACGCAACTACAAATATTTAAGTTTCTGCAATTTCTTCTCAAGGTTAATAATGTTTTATCCATACATCTGGCATCATTTAATTCTGTATCCTTGGGCTGATACACTTGATGCTGCATGAGCAGCTGATTAGACAGAATCTTTTGAGAATCTCACCCGTGACAAGAGCGAGTGTGCACATGCAGGAGAAGGTGGACACATCCAGGTTCATCCTCTGCAGATTTGCGGAGAATTCAACAATGCTGTCTATCCACTCCCCAAAGCCTCGTAGGCACTGGGGCCGGTGCCACACTGAGCCGTCGCAGAAGATCAGCTTCCCTTCCTCTGGCTTCGATCTGAAATAGAATGACAGCATGTGCTACAAGTGTGAAAAAGAGAAACTTGTCTGATGGCTTCTGCATGCATGCAGCTGCTTCTCCATCTTTGATTTGAGCCAAAAGTTCAAGAACTAACTAATTTTTGGCCCGTCTTACCAAGAAGTGCTTAGATTCTGAATTTCTTTACCTGTATGACAACCTCAAAACAAAGAGCTCCAGGAAAGCTGAGTAGAAGAGGAGGTCTTGGTCGTGTTTTGGAAGAGACGCGAAGCCTGGGATCTTCTGCGCCCAACCTCGAATCACCTCCATCGACCTGGTCAGGAGGTCGTAAAACTGCCGCACGTGCTGAGCATCGTCTCCCAGGGGACTTCCTGGACTCTCCTTGAACTTTTGAAGGATCACCATTAGAAAAAATGAGGATAGCATCATTTTATTAGCCTCTCAAACCTCATTATAGTGAATGGTTTCACATATCTTACTTTTAAGAAGTCAAGAAGAGATGGAGGAGGGTTTGATTCCATGTGTGCTCTGATGAGGTCGCTCAGGAGGGAGCTGACAGGTGCAGAAGAGTCAGGAAGAGGTTTAGGTTTGGACGGAAGGCGACCTCTTCGACCCTTCAGACCGGCTGTCCTTACAACTGCAGAAAAGATTCAACTTTTTTCAGATTTCATTCTAGGGTAAATCGTATAAATAGCAAATGACAGTCATGTCAATTTTGGGTTTCTTTTTTATGCATTTTAAGCTTTCCACATGTCATCAGCATTTTCTCTCCATTTTCTCCTGATATGTTTTTTCCATGATTGCCTTTAATCTGAACAAATTCTCTGCAAGTTATAAGTCAGAATATATTACTTGCAAACACATACACAATTGTGTGGCACAAGGCTTTGAAATCAATTAAATTAGATGCTACTTAAAGATCAAATTTGACAAAATATGTTTTTTAGAGGTTACCTTCTTTGACCATTCCCACTGCAAGGCACTTCTGGAATCGACAGTATTGGCACCGGTTCCTCCTGCGTTTGTCCACAGGGCAGCTTTTGGCAGCCAAACACACGTACTTGGCATTTTTTTGTACGGTTCGCTGCATAGAGAATGAAATGTTATATTTCACAAAGAACAAGGTTTCAATAAGGTCTACTCTTTAGACACTGATTGTTAATCTGATGCATGTTACTGAGGCAATGCTTAAACATAGCTTTCAGTAAAATTAACTGGAATTTGAACAGTTTGATACTAAAAATCATCTGTTTTTTAGAAGTGCTTAGGTCAAGCTGCATGTGAAACTTTGCAGCACAAATATACCTCAGACAATGTGTTTCTAAATACATTGTTATCTGTTGTTGTAAAATCAAAACCTGAGTAAAATCAGGCAGTTAAACCCCCCCAAAAAACACACATACAACCATTTAGATAAATATTTTTGGACAGTTCTTTGCTGCATTTTAATTAGGGGAATCTTTAAAGGGCGTTCAAGAACAATATTGGTCCCTTAACAACCAATTACATGGTGAAAAACTGTTCCAAAATGTTCACTTTATGGCGACACATTTTCTTTTCACACACCTTTGAGGGTCGGTCTAAACTGGTGGCATTTGGAACCGTTTTGTAAGACTCTTGGGAAATTGTTCAACATCAACATGAAGGACCTTTTTTTTTTAACATTTGAAAGTAAAAAGCCTTAAATGATCCTTTAAAAATTAACAGCAGCACTCCTGCTCCTGTGGGCCATCCAAGGCAGCATAAGGCATTCAACAAGGCAGACAGGGCAGTCTGGGTAAATACAGGGTCGTGGTCATTCGTAATTTGGAGAATTGCCCCCTGGGAATCTCCTTCAGAGAGAAGAAGAGGAGGGTTTTTATTCAGGTCACGTTGGTGGACATTTTCATACAGGACATTTTGCCCTAAAACCCTCAAGAATCAAGAGATCAGAACATGCATAAGGAGAAAAATTACCAATTTAGCAGGCTAGTCTGGGGTCTCAGGGGGGATTTTACACCATAGCTTAGTTCAATTAAGTTTTTAGAAGAAGACAGTGTGGCAGTGAAGGTTTTTGAGGAGGAAAAGGCAATATCCATTTTTGCAGTACTAGTTTTTCAGATTTTCATGAGAGCATCATGAGATTTTCTTTTCCAAAATTCAAAAGTTTGACATAAACCTCCTTCCTTGCTTTATAAATTTAAGCTTTTCAGGAGACATTTTCATCAGCTACCTTAAAATATCCAAGTATGAATTTAAGCTTTGTCCTGCAGCTTTAAAATTAAGTTGCACTGAAACAAACCTTGAAGAAGCCCTTGCAGCCCTCGCATGTGCGCACTCCATAGTGCTGGCACGCTGCGTTATCCCCGCACACCGCGCACAGCCCCTCCGTACTCAGCGCTCCCCGGCCGGGAGCTGAAGAAGTCTGGTGGTAGTCCATAAAGTGGTGGCCATGGGCGAGCTGGAACGGGTGAGGATACCCAACTCCCGTCTGCTTTCCCAAAACCCCGGAGCTGTCCAGCGGCTGGTGCGCCCCGGCTGTGTCCAAGCTCATGGACACGTGGAGGGATCCATCAAATTTGACGTGGTGTGCGCTGTGTGGTGCGTGTTTGAGGGAAAACAGCGAGAATCTGGAGAGAGCGTTTTTCCTGTGCGCCGCAGCTAAATAGTCCTGTCGAAAAGTGTACAGAGAGCCGGAGTCCTCCCATATGTGTGCTGTTGGAGTCTGGAAGTTGGAGGTGATATTGTGAGGTGATGGAGAGCGGTAGTAGTAAACAGAACCAGGGGAGGAAAGTATTTCGTCTGACTGGTGCGGATTCGGCTGATACCGCGGACACCCGTGCGCATCCTCCACCTTTACGCACGAAAGCTCCCCTTGCACTGGCATCTGGAAGAGACACGGAGGCTTCACGTCGTATCCAGAGCTGAAAGTGTCACCCAAAGAGCCAAAACTTGGCCCCGAAGTTGTAGCAGAAACTTCATTGTTCGTGAGGTCCATGCTGAACTTGACAAACTCCGGAGTGAGAAAGTCGCAGCTGCGCTCTCCTCCGGCGCTCTGAGACGCCGGGCTGGCTCCTTGCGGAGAGGAGCCGCACTGGGTCTGGACGCACGGCATGGCCCCTACAAATGTGCGTAATTTAGTTTATTTAGTCAAGTGGACACATAAGACAAGTACATCCATTAAGTTTGCGGAAACATTGATTTGAGATGTTACTTTGTCATGTCTTTAATAAGAAACAAATTTCGCAGACAGTGTAACTTGTTAAAAGACAGCTTCAACCTCAAAACAACTTTAAACAGCTCAAATGGCTTTTTTTCGTTTGCAGAGTAAATTGCACAGCTAATTACCTGTGGGCTTTAGTTTTCTTATTTTCCAGAGGATGTTTATGCCCGTTAGACGTTTCCTAATATGAAACAAAAAACATCAGGGGTGTCACTTGAAAGCTTTACAAAATTCTTAAAGATTTGGGGAGAAAAAGAGTAACACACAAATACCTCAGAGCTCCATCCAGTGCAAAAGAACTGTGCAAAGTAATCCCATTTCTTGCAGATCTTTAAAGGTGTAGCTGCAGCCAGAAAAATGTCCACTCGTTGTGTGAGGAGTAAAGGAAATGACTGCTCACTTCTCCCACTCTTAGACTTCCACACTGGCTGCCAGTGACACTGACAATGTGCTTTTGTTTACGCGGTGCGCACCACTGTGCCAAACCCTATTACGCACAAGACCCAAAGGGGCGGGCTGGTGTGTATGTGGGGGTCATTGACTGGTGTTGGCACAGACAGTGGATCATGTAATGTGGAAATAATGCTTATAGCCCACTTTCCTGCAGCACTTTTAAGGCCTTTTTATGAATTAAAGTTAGGGCAGCTACATCAAGTAGATTTATTTCAACTCTGATGGGGAAAAAAAAACTCAAAGTCGTTTAAGAAGCGGATCATGTTAAACAGCTGGTCTTTAATCTGTTGCTGAACACAGATTAAAGAGTAGGATTTTACAGCTTAAAACACATGTAAGTGTAAGAAATACATCAAGAATCAGCAAAATACGTCATATTTTAAAGGCTTTCTTATTTTCTACATGCCTACTGTCCTTAAAGACAGAGAAAAAACGACAGCTGGTGTCACTTCTCCCTCTTTATTATTATCCTCAAGGAGAAGAGGATGAAAGGGAGACCACTGTTGCGCAATATTACCCTCCCTTTACGTCAACAACATGGCCCCGCCTTTTGTTTAAACGCCATTGGACGAGCGTACTCGTACACTGCGTTCCGATTGGCTCTCCGCTGCGTCGCTCCTCACTGCTCAGCTTCCTGGTTGTAGCTGTCAAACCCAGGCTACGGTTTTAGATAACCGATGTCCTCAGTCGCCGCCCAGCATCGCCCCGAGCGAGTTTTACTCAGCCACAAAGCAAGAAAGCCTGTAAGTGTAAATGTCTAATCTATCACTGAGTGTCTTGTGGACATTTTCTAATATTTCCCTTCTTAGTTGTATCCCTGTTTTCGTTGGCCTAGAGCCAAAACGCGGAGCAACATCTGCGAGCTTTGTGATTCCATGACAACGAAGAAAACCCTCTTCTTTATAGTTATCATATCAAAGGACATGCTAAGCTAATGTGTTTTATTTCGTTATTTTTGAACCGTGGAAGCAGCTGTTATATTCCTACAATGTAAGCCTGTTTCTTGCCGTGGAGGTGTAATTATAACTCGTCTTATTTTTATAACGTAAAGCGCTTAGTCGTGACTGTTAAGACGAAGCTAGCGGCTGGTTTGCATGAAACTGAGCTCTGTAAGATGTCAGGGTTAAAAAGGGCGACTTCCTCTTGTGTGGTAATGAACAACGGAATAATAAAGCAATAAAAACTTTATAATATACTACCACCTGCTGTTGAAGAGGAAACCTGCTCTTGTGAATTGTCTCTGTACTACACACGGGAATCCTTGTTATTCTGTGAAAATACATGGGGCTTAAACTAGGCAGACTGTCAACTAAAGAAAAAAAAGAAAAAAAGAAAAGCCCCTTCACTGTGAGGAAGCCCCCCTCATGTGCTGACTCATAATGAGTCTGCAGGCTGATGTAAGTGAATGAGAGCAGTGTGAAAGAGGAGGAATAGTTACATCTTCTGGTTACCATAAAACTTTTTTTATACCTGTGTTAGGCCATGGGGTTCCCGAAATGTACAGGTCATGACCCCCTAAATAAGGAGGAGAGTCTGGTGACCCCCAGTGTCCCAAGCTAATCTTGTAATGCACAGCCGGCTAGCAGCAGAATACAAGTAATTACTATGTTTAGGCTTTAGCACTGAGTGGAAATATAGGTTAAAAAATAGTCGGTCTTTATGTGCAATGAGCAGAAGACACCTATATTGTTGCTGTCATGCACGCTTCCTTTTTTCCTATTCCTACACATGGCCAAATGGTTAATACAGCATACTTGTGAGTTGTACACTCGAGTAGGATGGCCTTCTCTGACAACCTGTAGGCTCTTACACCTTTAAGGCAATTCTTGGTCTGCTCCGACACTGCCTAAGTGTTCAGCACTTCTCTTAATCACTCAGAGAAGTACTGAACAATGCTCATTGCATTTTCAGGATATCTTCATGCTCTCTGTCCCAAATGCTCAGACAGAATCTGTAAAAAGGGCTTTATATTGTGCACCCTCAGCCTGGAATTTGTTGCAGAATAACTTGAAACTCAAGGAACTGGTGTTGTAAAATGTTTTTCAATCTAAAACGAAAGAGTTGGAAGTAGATTCTAGAGGATGTGGCTGTTTTTTTTGCTTGCCTGGTTGTACAACTGACTCCCAGAAAGTTCTTTGTTGGACTCATTTGTTTGTGAATTGTTTCCCTTTGTGTCTCTGTCTGTAACACATACAAGCATTATTCCGTGCATCTCCGACAGATGTTGTCATTCATCTTAATGTTTTTGTGTCCTATGGCTTTTTACATTTTTTTTTTGATTAGCAAACTATTTCAACACTAAATGCCTAGGGGCCTGTAATGTAGACATGTCTTTATTTGTCAAAACGTATGGCTACTCCAGGCAAGTAAAAGGGACTGGGCCTTAAATTGGGATAGGCTGTTATTTGATACACGATACATCCGGTTTTGTTTTTGTGGTTCAGCTGGCAAAGCTACACCAATCAACAGGTCCCAGTCATAAGTGTTCCTCCAGGCTAATTATTGTAATGTTTGACTTTCACAGTTAGAGGTCGTGAACAGAATGTGATATGGTGTGAAATCCTGTGGTATGTCACAGAGTAGGATTTGATTCATATGTGGGCTATGAATGCCAACGTAAATAAGGTTAACTAATATTTCCATGCTATGGCTTATTTGACAGTATCCATGAATATTTTCAGTTAATCACTTTGAGAAGGAGGAGTCAGCCAACCTTTGAAAATGTTAAGGTATACTCTAAATCTACCACATGTAATACAGTTTATCATGAAACCAGGATATGAGGTCTTCAATTCCATGTATATCTCACATAGATGCACTGATAATTGATAAGAATGGATTAAAAAAATGCCAAATTCAGTTTGAGGTCATTTAAAAAAGTTAATACTGCAAATGTTGTGAGGAAGTCATGTTTTGGAATCAGTTTGATTTTAAGAGTATTGGTATCGTTTTATTCATCCATTAAAGAATGAAAAGCATTTATAAAACAAGCCAGTGTTTTATTATATATTCTCATATTTTATTACTTTTGTCAGTGCAGAACAGATCTATCTCTGTCTTTATTCTCCAAGAAACCCTTTGTCACCGTTATCCTCAGGGTTAAACTCATGTGTCAGTCATTCTGTTAAGTGCTCTCAGCTTTAGCAACTTCCATATGCAGTTTGGATAGTTTACTGTGAAGTTTCAGCTCTGTATAACAGGTTATACGAGGGTCGATTTTGCCTGGAGAACTTTTGTCATCAGTCAACTCACCATCCCGCCGGCAAATTTTTCAGGCAAATGCAGGTGTAAACACATCTGAATGTCTCTTTTTTTTTTGGAGGTAAATCATCTGTCCTAGATATTCCTGTCTTTTTTTTATTGACGTCCCTGCTGCGTGTCCTCGCTGCTACTTTTCTTCTCTACAGGGCCAACGATGGCGTTCAGGAAGGCTCTGAAACGGACAGCGATCATAGGTGGCGGGGCGGTGGCTACGGCTTTTGGCCTGTCACAGCTGATCGAGTACAAGAAGACACAGGTAGGCTTGGTGGAAAGATATCATCCCTCAGCTTGTGCCGCTTTGCTTTTTTGTTGCATGAGCTTAAGAACGTACATTTTGAAGGATTTGAAGGCAGATACAATATTTTAAAGCCTTCTTCTTTTAAATATTTTGTTCTTGAAACTCAAATGTTTTACTCTATATGCTGTTTAGACTCTTTGCCAACTGTTCAGTTCAGAATCTAAACACAAACTTTTTCTCTGGCCTGAAAAGTCTTCTAAACTGAGAGGGAGTGCCTGTATGGGCATGCCCACATATAATAGATTTAGGAATGTGGTTTCTTTCCTCTCCAAAGTGTGTTTACTTTTATTTGAATTTGAAAGTATGCCTTTCCAGCTGGTGTACAAGATGCATTAGCTCCCATCATTATCATTGAAATGCTTAGAAATAACGATGAATCACAGGCCGGGTCTTTGTACTGTAATATAGCAATAAGTAAGGTCTTTTACCTGCTTTTTGTAACATAACAATGAGTAAGGTCTTTTTACCTGCTCTTTTGTAATGTTAACAGACAAAGAGTAAGGTATTTTACCTGCTTTTTGTAAAGTGTCTCGAGATAACACTTGTTATGAGTTGATGCTATACAAATAGCTTTTGTTCAAGCCGAGAAACAGTGCAACAAACGAAAAGAAGGAAACTGGCTCTTAGCAAATGAGATCCAACATGTTAAAAAGTAGGCAGATTTTGTTACTTTCAGACGCAGCCAAGCTAACATTTTCCATCTGTTGCAAGCCTTTATGCTAAGCTACCTGTCTATGTCTTAATTTACATTCAGACATGAGAGTATCTGAAAATGTTTCATCAGTGAATTTCTTTCATGTAGAGCTTTTCATTTGTAGTGAGTTGGTAAATTAGTTTATAGTTGTGCTGGTTGCCAAGGAAACACAGCTGAAGCCAGTCCAAGCTCCTAGCCAAATTTTTTGATTCAATCATTTCTCCCAGAAGAGGTTTATGAATACAGACTTTAAACTGTTGTTCATTTTGAGCACTCAGGGAATATGTTTTAAGCAGAATATTGTGCAAATTTACTACCATATTTTATAAATTCACAATTGAATCCAACTACTTGTTTGATATATTGTAAGTTTTGTGTTTATCTACTGGCCACACTGACCCTTCATCCCTAAACCCTCCAGAATTTCTCTTCTGAATAGCTTCTTGAAATAGACTAAAATGAAATGTATCAGCGTAACTAAGTAAAGTTAAAGAATGAAGAAAAGACAATGAACAACAGGCAAGACTTCACAAGTATTCTCACCTCATGTCTGGTGACAGAGAGCACAGCTGTCCTTGAAAGACAGTTCAAGCCTCGAAACTCGACCACTGACCATCCTCTTGAACACAAATAACCATGAGGTGTGACTTCACTTGAGATGGACAAGCAGCTGTGTGTTTCTCTCCTGACTTTTGACCCGACATAGACCTATTTCAGGCAGACTCCGAGCTAAGTACAGGCCTTTATTTGACTGTACAACCTAATGTGAACTCTGTTTTGTGTCCACGCGATACCTCTGTTTGCCCACCTTCCTCCTCTCGACCAAGACTGGATTGGTAAGCAAGATGTCGACCCTGATTAATTATAAAAAAAAATTCACAATAGTTTGTAATCATGCATGCCTCTAATCCCAGTAATTGCACTGCTGATGACATGAACGTCAGTCTTCTCTCCTTTACAAGGGCATATGGCAGCGGGAAAGTTTTCAAGACAGCGGCCGATTGGCTATTAGCATGGGCTGCGCTGTGACTTAACTTGATTACAGGGGGCCACGCTGGTGCTTAATTCTGCGACGGTGTTTGTCTGTATGCATCATCGAAAATAGACAATGATTATATCACCGTCTTTGTTTGTGGTCGTGGGCCTAAATTACAAACGCCCGCTTCTATTTGCAAGTCTAATGCCACGTTTGCTTCAAAGCAGCTTGATGCAATCATTTAGCTCCTACTGCTAACTGGAAATATGAATAAATCTTTCATTAGAGGTGAAATCCCACCTCATCCAATCAGAGGAGAGCTGTGCTTGTCTTGTATTTACTGTGCTTATGCCTTAAAATTAATGGTTTTGCTAATCAAACAATGAACGACTGGAATGTGATTTAAGTTGTGTTTTTCTCTTCTTTTGCAAAGCTGAGCAGCATGTTGCAGCACATAGTGACCCTCATCCAACTTTCCTTTGCTTCCATCAATTAAAGATTTTTTTGTTTTGTCTTTTTTTTAGCGACACCTCAGGTGACAAAGAGACATCATAAGCACGTTATATATCAGATTTATGCAGCCAGGAATGATCTTCAGAAAACTAATCTCAAATCTGAGATTAAAAGATCATTGTTGGATGTGCTGGAAAAGCAAAGCATCAAATAACAACGAAATAAAACAATACAAAAAATCTTTATATTTCTTGTTAAATTAAATCTTTAAAGTAACTTACATCTATGACTCTTAAGATGAAGTTAAAGCTACACTTGTAAGTACATTATATCTCAATAGATCAAGTTTGTTAGCTATTGTTACAGCTTTTTTATTATTATTTATAAATGTAAAGATCTTCTATAAGAAAATCTTACAACTGTGAATAAGTTCATGAAAGTGACATTAAAAGTGTTGGTAAATGTTGCATTACTTTCCTGTTCAGGGCGTTTATTGATTACAAATCTCTCAAAAAAATCAACAACAAAACAAAGAGTGGATATGGGCGCCTACAACTGAACTGCTTTGTCTTGAAGCTAATCATCAAAACAACTTACAGTAATCAGCATCAGCAGAAAATGAGTTGGGCTGTGTTTAACTTGTAAATTAAATTGAGAATATCTCCATGACAGTTACAATAACCATGAACAATCGTGAAGTCTTAAAGTCATGACCATTGTCACGGCCGCCACTTCTTATAATCCCTGTAATTAATTCATGCCACCTTTCATAAATTATATTCCATCCATGACAACTCACTAATGCATATTATAAGCATATGTATGTCTAACAATAATGTCATTACCCATTCACGCTAAATCCATAATGTATTAAAATGATTGCTTGGGAGTCATTATGCAATTTATCACATGTAATTTAATGAGGTGAATATAATGCAGGGATTATACATAAACATATTAAACATAGAACGCTGCTTATGATGTTTCAAAGGCACCTCAAGGAAAGTGTTGCTACATTGTCTGCAAATTTACAGAAAATAACATAGATACATTCAACGCAGAAAGTATAGATGACAATCTTTGTACTGTTGCTCATCGGGCTAATGCCGTCGTATCTGTGTCACATCCAGGCTCGGTTAGCTCATGTGGCTGCAGAAGCTGAGCTGAGGGTTCCCTACGCCGACGAGTTTCCCTCTCGGCAGGCACAGCTCGCCGCACTGCAGAACACTGAGGAGTTTGACGTTCTGATCGTAGGAGGAGGAGCCACGGGGGCAGGATGTGCCTTAGACGCTGTCACACGCAGTAAGAATAACAATATATATTCGAACAATGATGACAAGGGAATGATGTGTCCTTATGTGGCCTATTAAACAGCCGTAGGGACACTTTTCAGGTGAACTTTTCATAAGGCTTCTCCCTTTTCAGCAGGATAATGTTGTGATAGTTTATTGGCTGCCCTGTGAAAACTAATATACCTTTAAAACTACATATTGTGCTTAAAAACACATTTTGTGATCTTATTAATGTGTTGTCAAAGGGCTGAAATAAGGGTGTTTAAGATGTGCACTTTCAACAGAAATATATGACTTACTGTATTTTTATTTTATTTATAGACAGAAGGAGCTTTCTTGTATTTATGTAACAGTTTTTCTGTGAGTGAAAGTAAATGTTTCTTTTTATGTTTTATCTTCTGGATTGCAATGATTCAGAAATAGTTTAACAGCCTGTAACATGAAGAAGCTTTTCAGTAACATTATCGGAACATTGTTACCCTTCACCGTTAACGTTTTTTTTTTTTCTAGACCTCAAGACTGCTCTCGTGGAGAGAAGCGACTTCTCCTCGGGGACGAGCAGCCGGAGTACAAAGCTAATTCACGGTGGAGTCCGCTATCTCCAGAAGGCCATCATGAAGTTAGACTACGAACAGGTTTGCATTTGTACTCTTATTTTTCATTCACATATCAGTTATTTGCTCTTTTCTCTTCATCTTCTTTTTCTGTCCACTGAAACAGTACATGATGGTGAAAGAGGCCCTGCATGAGCGAGCCAACCTCCTGGAGATCGCTCCCCACCTGTCTGCACCACTGCCAATCATGCTTCCTGTTTACAAGTAAGTGCACCACACATGTTAGGGAATTATTTTTTTTAAAAGCAGGTGATATTTTTTATATTCTGCTGGGAAGATGCATTGTATCTTTAAATAAATGTAATTTAGTTTCTATGTATCTGGATGGAAAATTAACACCAGCTTCTGAATGCTTGTTGTGGCCTCTTGTTGTGAAAACATCTCTTTTTCCCTAGATGGTGGCAGTTGCCTTACTATTGGGCAGGGATCAAAATGTACGACCTGGTGGCTGGGATCCAGTGTCTGAAGAGCAGCTACGTCCTCAGTAAGACCAAAGCCTTGGAGCTGTTTCCCATGCTCAAGAAGGACAAGCTGGTGGGAGCCATCGTCTACTATGATGGTGAGTCAGGGCTCCACAGCTCTCTAGGCTCAGTTTGCATTAAACCTGATTATTTCATTATGATGTTTGCACGTGTGGACAGTATTCTAAAACACACGGTTCATTTGTTGATTCATTACTCACTTTTGCTGAGTCACTGTTTGTGCTTTTTCCCTTTTCTGGCTTGTCTCTTTCCTTTAGCAGTAGATATGATGGGTAAGCCATTAGCCACATAATTATCACATTTTGATTTATGCCCCTGACAGTTAATGTCTGTGTCTTAAAACTCTGCAGAAAATCTGCAAAAAGTTTTTTTTCAGCATTTCTCCTCAGATTTTGTCTGGTTAAAGAAAATACTGCAATGGCTATTTAATCTGTCTCTCTAAGAATATAAACTAAATCATTTATAGTATAGCAAGTATAAAAATGTATCAACGCGTCTCAACACGCTTCTGATCAACAGAAGACTTTGAGATTGAGGTTGAGATTCAACTTTATTGTCATTACACATATACAAGTATAGAGTAACGAAATGAGGTTTGGCATCTCACCAGAAGTGCAAATAAGCAGAAAGTGCAAGAGTCTGTGCTATGTACAGTTATTACAAAATGTACAGATGTAGACTAAAAAAGAGTGAATTATTGGGTATATATGGCTGGATTAATGGGTAATGCTATAAATATAAATAAATGCTATAAATATAAGTATATTTTTAGGATTATAATATACAGATTAAGGTGCAGTGAGCATGCTATACTAGATTACAGATAATATACAGAATATTGACATTTTGTACAGGTCGATAACTTATTGAGCTGATATGAACAAACTATATTACGATGAAAGATGAAAGATGTGTGTGTATGACCAGGAGGAGTGGTGGGGGGGATGATGGGTGTGAGGTGATGTGGAGGGGAAGGGGGGTCAGCGGGGGGCAGAGTTCGGGAGGGAGACAGAGTTCAGAGTTCAGGGGGCAGAGTTCAGTAGAGAGACAGCTCTGGAAAAAGCTGTTCTTCAGTTTGCTGGTTCTGGTCTGGAGGCTTTTGTAGCACCTACCTGAGGGCAGGAGGGCAAACAGTCTGTGGGCAGGGTGGGAGGAGTCTTTAAGGATGCTATAAGGGTAAACTTAACTGTCTCAACATTTCAACATCAAAAGCACTCTCTGTAAATCAGTGCAAAATAAAAAAAGGGATAAAAACAATGCCAATAAAAAAATAGAATTCCAAATGAGCAACATTTGTAAATTGTATACAAATCTTGAGATTTAGACATGACAGGAGATCACTATCTGTTAAAATAGATTTATTGTTGCTCCAAGTGCTGACATCTCCACTGGTGCTCACAAAACGTGTTGACAGGCTGGTAGGAAGCCCTCTTTTTCCCTGTGGCGTTAAAGGTTGCGTGTTCCCTAGATGGCTCCAGAACACAATCAAACATATGCTCAGAGTCCAGCTGAGTGCGAGGAACTCAGTGCCGATGGCGTCCTTTTCCGTCAGTCTTTCCAACAACAAAAATAACAACAGTGTGTCCGTAGGCAACTTGTGAAAATCAACTCGTCATGTCTGATGAGAACTGGCTGACGGGTCTAATTTATAGAAACAAAAAACATCTCTAAAGGGCTATTTAAGGGATGAAACATGAAATATTTGTCCTAAAAATTAATGATGCATGATCTTAAAATGTGGCTCTCACTTAGGCCTTAAGTTGTTTAAATGGAATACAAATGCAGAATTATTATAACCTCAAAATGTGAAAATATAAATGGTCAGATTTGTGGATTTACTGCATCCTGGAGAGGAAGAGCACATCTTTGGTGCAAAGCAGCATATGTTAGATTTCCTCCTCCCCCCACCCCTCCTCCATCACCCGCCATCATCTGCTCCAAGGGGAAGGGATGGTGGAGGGATAGTGGAGGGGTGGGGCGTCTTTTCTCCAATTATGCCGTCTGGAACAATCACGGCGGTGACATTTCGAAATCTGACCTTCTCTCCCGGCGGTGTAGAGCACAGAGAAGCGTCGTCGTTGGTCGGAGCGGCTGAGCAGCGGCAGATATTTCTCTGGCTGTCTGGGTGGCTACTGCTGCTGCTGCTGCCACAGACAAAAAGAGGGATGTTTTTATTTTTACAAACACTAACCAGCTATTGTGTAGACCTTCTCCTGTTATTAAGAATTGGCTGGCTGGTATATTTCGCTCTGGAAAACAAACTACAGTGTGTTATTGCGGTTTAAAAACACTTTATTCCAGAAACCTGTTTAATGTCCCAAATCCTTTTATTTCAAAGCTAGTCGTTAATGATGTTTACCCCATTGCTCAGTTGCAAATAAAAGTCACCATTTTGAGACATGAATCATCATGTGACAGAAATCCTCTGTGGTATACTGTATGGAAGAATATGCTCAAGTGAAGAAAGTGTAACATTTTCATTTTTGAGCGCTCCTGGCTTTATGTTTTTATGCTCTTCTCTGATTAGTATTGTATTAAGTTTTTTCTCTCTAATCAAATACATGTTTTCTGATGAAAGAGGTTTAAGACATGACATTTTAATACTTTTAGGGTCAGAAGTCTATCTGAATTAATTCCTCTTTCTCACACTCTACTTTTCCGTCTCTTTCAGGGCAGCACAACGACGCCCGGATGAACCTCGCCATCGCCCTCTCCTCCGCACGCTACGGCGCTGCTGTTGCCAACTACACGGAGGTGGTCCACCTGCTGAAGAAAAAGGACCCTGAGACCGGCCAGGAGAAGGTGTGTGGAGCCCGCTGCAGGGACGTCATCACAGGTAAGAAAATCACTTAGATAAAAATGAACAAGTCCCATATGTAAAGGATTCCTATTTAGAGTTTTTAAAATTATTATTAGTTGCTCTATACTTTTTGTCCGTATGTATATTTATCTTGAAGGCGTTTGTATTCATGGATTGTTGATAGAGCAATTTGTAACCTGTGTTTAAAGGTGCTGTATAAATAAAGGTTTACATGCAAACGCCATTACAATGCAAACATCACCTTTCATCTGTACATGCGTGGAAAAGTATTTAATTGATTTCAGTAATGTCAAAGGTTAGATAAATAAAAAAAGAAAGTAGATGTTGAAAATAATGTTGTTTTTCAGGCAGTAATCAGTGATTGAATTTCTAATATTAAATATCTGGGTGTGTAAGAAAGGGCAGATTTTACTGAACCTAGCAAGGGCGCTGAAAAAGGTCTGATAAAACCCAAAGAGTAAATAAATGATAGTTTAAAAATGATACATTTAATAACAAACAGTAACATATGATCATCTGGAGAGGAAGGTCGTGCAACTTTGGTGTAACCTGCATGGGAACATAAATGAAAAAACAACAGGTTTAATAAGTCTGGCGTTATGATGAAACAATAATACTTTGAAACACATCAGCCAACCCATAGAGTTTTAAAACTATTTATTTCCATAGCTAACATTTAGCTATTTAATGTTCAGTCTGTAAAATCTAACTTTCAGTTTGAAAAAAACAAAACCCAAAAAAGTATATTTGTTAGAAACATGGCACAATAGATGTTTGGTTTTTATCCTCATTATTTCTCTCATACAGGGAATGAATTTGATGTGAAGGCAAAGTGTGTGATCAATGCCACCGGCCCGTTCACCGACTCTCTGAGGAAAATGGACAACCAGGAGACTGCAAACATCTGCCAACCGAGCGCAGGTGTTCACATTGTCATCCCTGGTTACTACAGGTACGACACACTTAAAATAGATATAAACTGTCTTTTTTAGAAGTCCTGATGATGTTCTTTTAACTTCCCATCCGGTGTTTGTTTTTTTAAGTTTATTTATTCCTCATTCTGATGTGTAAACAATGAGCTGGTAAACAATGATGTGTAAACAATGAGCTGGCTAAGCTATTAGCTGACCTATACGTCATGCACAGGACAATCTTCTGTGGTTAAAATACAGCAGAGTAATAGAGTGAGTTTTGTTGAAGTCAGGGGCTTTTTTAAAGTTCAGCCAAGCTTATTGAGCAAAACCCGAGGGAGCGGGAGCCCTTTGAACAGCGGCAGAAATGCCAACCACCTAATTCTCTTCCTCCTGCCGCTATCTGTCCCCTCACCGCCTCCTCTTCTTCCCACATATTTTCCATCTCTGACTATTTTCTCCTCTGCCATCTCTCTCTTACTACCTACATGCTTTTTTTCTCACATCCTGTTTTCCTAGAAGCAGTAGATCTAATAACATTTTATGGTTCTACTCATTCTACTATAAAAAAACATTGTCCCTATATTTTATTGCCCCGCAGCCCAGACAACATGGGTCTCCTCGATCCAGCCACAAGCGACGGGCGCGTCATCTTCTTCCTGCCATGGGAGAAGATGACCATCGCCGGGACCACAGACACGCCAACCAACGTGACGGCCCACCCAATCCCGGGAGAGGACGACATCAACTTCATCCTGAGGGAGGTCCGCAACTACCTCAGCCCTGACGTAGAAGGTAAAGAGCATGATGTTGATCTTTGAACACCCAAAAACAAAACTGAATTTCTGAAAGTAGGGAAAACTTTGTTCCCAACCTCATTTACATTTTAAACAACTTGCCCTTTTACTTATAAAGATCATATTTCTGTCTTAACGTTTACTGCCAATTGAGAGTGAACAAGCTTCCACTAGAAGAAGACATTGAAAACAAAAAGACATATTTTTGATTCATGACAGTTTTCATGGATGAACGCATTACTATATGGCCTTATAAAGTAAGGTTCAAAGTACTCTGGTTGCAAAGTGACAATTTTTTTATGTCCACAGTACGTAGAGGAGACGTGTTGGCAGCGTGGAGCGGCATCAGACCCCTTGTGACGGACCCAGACTCCAAAGACACTCAGTCCATCTGCAGAAACCACATCGTGAGCATCAGTGACAGCGGACTGGTCACTATCGCTGGTCAGTGAGCCTTTAACATTATCTCTTTAAACCTGCTCACCAATGCTGCGTGTTTACTATGGTAAGATGGTTTTTATTTTGTGTATGCAGGTGGAAAGTGGACCACCTACAGGTCAATGGCTGAGGAGACTCTGGACGCAGCCATCAAATCTCACAGCCTCTCAGCGGAGCCCTGTAAGACTGTGGGTCTGATGCTGGAGGGAGCAAAGGGCTGGACGCCAACACTCTACATCCGCCTGGTGCAGGATTACGGGCTGGAGCAAGAGGTAAAGCAACAGGTTTTTCTGATCACAAACATTCTTAACCCTGATTAAAAAGAGGACCACTTTCTAACAAACAGCAAAACAAGAAAAGCAAATGTATCAGGAACACATTTACCAAACACGGTAGGGTAGTGAAAGAGGTGCAGGGAAGTGTGTCAAAACGAAATATTGCACAATGCAAGTGAAGCTCTGCAGAAGAAAAGGGACCGACAAGATGACATAATTAAGATTGTTAGTCAGACCTCAACTGTCACAAAAAAAGTTCCAATGTGCTAGAAACAACCCTTATGTAACACTGAGACTTCAGAAAGCTACTCTCACTTCATGAAATAGCTCCAATCTAACAGCACATTTTCACATTTGTGTTCACCTCACAGGGGGAAGTGTAATTATTTTGAAACAGCAGTTCGGCCCCCTTTGACTTCCTAAACATTTATGGCATGACAAGATGTTAAAGAATTCACATACCACACACATACCAAGACACACACTCCCTCTACAAACAAACCTGTAAAACCTCACAAATGCATGCACACTCTCACTATCTTCTTCAGCAGTTGAGCTGACATTAAAGCTGCTGCTATAACAACGCTGACATTTCTGCTACACAAAAGAGTCGACACGCGTTGAACTGCACTGTACACTTTTATCAATGGCATTAAGTAAGGGTGCATTGATTTACAACAGCTACATGCCATCTTTCCAATAATTAGCCAGTGCGTTTTCATTGAATCCAATAAAACATAGTTTCAAGAAGGAAAAGTAGTCGCACAGTCTACTTACTCCTCATTAGAGCCGTTCGGCTGTTCGCTCCAATATTTCTAAAAGGTCACTGTTGATATTTGGACAGCGTTTGCCCTTTCACATGATCGGCACGCCAACGATCTGAATAGCAAATAGGCCTCTCGTTTTCTGTAAACAGATGACAACTCAATGACAAAACGGCGCAAGAGCTAACTCTTCAAAAGCTCTACTCCGATAGGTAGCACTCATGCTGCCATTACAATATACTGTATGTTGTTTACACAGTGGCTTCAGATAGGACAGTGCCTCTATTGAATTATCATGATATAAAGGTTATACTGCTTTATATGCTTCAACTGTTATGTAAGAGAAAATGTAAGAACGTACGTTATTTTGCCTCCCAGAGCCTCTTTCTGCCTTTATGAGCTGCTCGCTGGGTATTATTGGGCTTATTACATTTGTGCTGTGTTGTGATGCTGACTGGTTGGTTTACCTTCACATACAGGTTGCTCAGCATCTGGCCTCAACGTATGGAGCGAAAGCATTCGACGTGGCCAAGATGGCTCAGGTCACCGGGCAAAGATGGCCGATCGTTGGGAAAAGATTGGTGTCAGAGTTCCCTTACATCGAGAGCGAGGTGGAGTACGATTTAATGCTTCTCAAATTCTTCTTTTTGTTTCTTTATGTTAACCTGATGTGGCTCTTCTGTCTCAGGTACTGTATGCGATGAAGGAGTACGCCTGCACAGCCATCGATGTGATCGCCAGACGAACACGTTTGGGCTTCCTGAACGTGCAGGCGGCCGACGAAGCCCTGCCTCGCATCGTGCAGATCATGGGGAAAGAGCTGGGCTGGAGTGAGGAGAAGAAGACAGTGAGTTTTCAGGGGATTTGAGTTTGTGTAAAAGTTCCCTGTTGCAGAAAACCTGCTCTGTTTCATACAATGCTTGAATGCCTGGAGGTTTTTTGAAGTTGTTGCAGTGTTTCTTCTTCCATCTGCTCACAAAAGAAAGGTCCACACCCTTCATGCCCTGAGAGGAGAAGCTCAGTCTGTGTATGAAAGAGAAGAAGTGATATGTGTTGCATGAAAGCTGAACTCTGAGCTATTTTAAGCTCTTATTGTCAACACAGGACACACTGACCTGCAGAAGCTCTGTACAAAACTACTCATAGTTTTGTGAAGACATTAATCAAAGGTTATTATTGTAGTTTTAATCGTTTCATAGAAGGCAGTTGTTTTCACTTAGAGTACAGTTTATTTCCTGGTCTATTTTGTCACAGAAAGACAAAGCAACACAATCCTCAGATTCTCGATTGCTCTGCTAATGTTTCCCTCAGGCAGAGCTCGAAGCAGCAAAGAAGTTTCTGTACCACGAGATGGGCTACAGGTCTCGTTCTGAGCAGCTGACCAAGACGACTGATATCAACCTGGACTACCAGGAAGTAGTCAGGTACTTATTACTCCTCCTTTTTTGAAAACACATCCAAACGTACAAGCTTTTTTTTTATCACTCACTAGATCAGAGAGCAAGATTATTCCCACAGGACACCTGTCCTCCCCTGTTTGCTGTTTTTATCAACATGAAATAAAAGAAGTGAAAGAAAATATCACAAAGCCAACAAGGCCTTGACCTTTTTATATCCTTCTTTCAGGTACAAGAAGCGTTTCCATAAGTTTGACAAAGAAAGCAAAGGATTCATCACCACTGTGGACGTGCAGCAGGTCCTGGATGTGAGTTAACTTTCAGCCCTCTTCTTCTTCTTCTCTTTTGTGTCTTTGTACACTTTGTCTCACGGATATGTTATCGATTCTCGCTCTTGTTTTCCTTCTCTGCAGAGCATCAACGTGCAGATTGATGAAAATGCCCTCCATGAGATCCTGAATGAGGTGGACCTGAACAAGAACGGACAGGTGGAGATTGATGAATTCCTGCAGGTACGTAACACACACACTCACACAGCGATGGCTAAACGAGGACATGAAGACGTCTGATAATGATCGTTCACATGTCACTTTTTAATATCAGCAGATATCTCACTGTAGACACAAACTACTGTCATGCTTTGTTACTGATATTTTTCAACCATCATTTTTTACATCTTATTTTGATGCTCAGCTGTGAGATGTTCATCACAATGTTACTTAAACTGTTTTAATTTTAGTATTTGTTGTCCATGATTAAGTCCTTAAAAGGCCTTTTATTCACAGAAACACAACTAACAAATATGATTTCTACTCGTTTCCATTCACTGTGTTTTAGAGATTTGCAGAAACAGAAAAGAAACATGTTTTTTGAATTTAGATTTGTAGGAGTCAGCAAATGTTATCTTGTACTAAGCAAATAAACATTTTAAGAGTAAGAACATAGAAACAGGAAATATGTTACAAAATGTTCCAGATGTGCAGCTAATGAGAGGAAGCGTTAAAGGCTAACACCTCTGTCAGTGCCTGCAGAACAAACAGGACTGAAGACATGAAGGCCGGATAATAGAAACCCAGGGGAGCACCATCCAATACACACACACACACAAACAACCTGAGTTTTTGTCACTGCAGCCAATTCCTGTTTTCAATCTTCTGCTTCGAGAGGTGTCATGGAATTTGACTTTTATCTGCATATTTATTCCGATTTTTAAACTCCAAGATTTAAGTTAAAAACCGTTCTTGTCAGGAATTTGTTGACTTAAAAATGAAAATAAATGAGACGTTTTTCTATCGTAGGTAATCAAACCTTCTATCAGAAAATAGAGGCTTCAAACATTCTTTCTTTATTCAGTTTTCGTCTAAGAATTGTTACCACGATAAATAAAACACTTTCCTCCTCAAACATGCTGGTCACTGAATCCGCAGCATAAGTCGACCCATCGTTAAAGAAAAGAGAAAACGCTTGACCTGAGCTGTGAGAAGGTTGAACATCCGCTGCTGTAAACTGAAGGTGTGAAATCTTAACTAGACTAGATGGAGCTAATTAAAGAGAAAAGTCTCTAGCGACTCGTGTAACGAGGCCTGAAGTGTGTCCTCTTTTCACCCATCAAATTACCTCCTCACCTGAGTGCAGAACCAAGGGTCATTACAGGAGCGCTAGGTGACAGTCGATTCAGTCATTATTAGTGATGAGTCAGATAAAAGTCTAAATTTCTTTTGACTAGAATGATGCTGTTTGTTGTTTATGTTGTGATGCTGAATATGTGTTTCTGCTCGTGTGTACGTCTGACCTGCACGTCAACGACTTTTAGGTACAACAAACAGGTAGTGTACATGATGAGAATCAAACGCCGCAACCTCTGTCCATCTAACTTTGAAAAGGGGTTTCTGCCGTATTAACAATAAAGTTACATAAAACTTTATTAAAGTCTTGTGGTGAACAGAGACGACAAGGGCTGAAGGGAGGAAACACACCAAAGTGTTAAAGCTGAACAAGGAAACCATGAAAGGATAAACACGGTCATATTGTATATTTTTCTTACTCCTAATGGATTCCAGAAACAGACGAAGACGGAGTTACACATGATTGTTTTTGGTCTTCAGGGGATTTATTGACATTAAGAAAAATATTAAATAATACCTTCCTTATCCTTTAAAAAGGCCAAACACACACATACTGTAGTGGGATAAACTCTAACAGGTTGAAGATTCAAGAGCTTGTGAAGGTTTTCTGTTTATTTCAATCAGACAAATAAATGCTTTAATTTCATGTAAGAGTGTAAAAAAAAAATCTGATACAGTTCAGCTTTTACACGTCAACAATCATCTTTGGTGTCTGTTTCATTTTCTAATTGTCAAAGTCCGGGTTGTGAAGGTGACTGTATGTCTCTAAAGCCTTTCATTGTGGGGTATTTTTGTTCAGGTAATTATTTCTCCCTCCGTTTAGTCTGACAGGTTAACCTTTATCACACACGCCGTATACGACTTTATGTTCTCTGCTGTTTCCAGCTGATGAGCGCCGTGAAGAAGGGGCTTCTGTCTGACAGCCGTCTGGCCATCCTGATGAAGGCGGCGGAGGAGACTCTGGATAAGAGAGGGCCGGTGAGCGTGGACCGAAGCGGGGGCGGAGTCTAAAACAGACAAGGATGAAATCTGCTCCTCTAAAAGGTGGAGATAGCGAATGCAAATACGCTATTTGAATGACAATAATGCAATCAGGCACACGGGGAGAAGAATTTGGTCAAATCAACATCTCTCCTGAGGTGTTTTTGGGTGAAATCGTATCTAATGGTCGAGGCGGAGGTTTTTATTTCTCATTAAGTCAGAGTTTGTCCCAACATCAGGTGCCTCTGATTTGACACAGCACACGGTTTTCTACTGTCTTTGAAACAAACTTTGATATTTGAATCATTACATTCTCTCTCTCTCTAGTTTCTGCAACACTCCTTTTGAACACGACTGTGATTGTTGAGGAAACACTTTCCTCTCCGTGATGCAGCTTCAAGCTTTTAATCATGCTTTATTTTATGGGTCCTTTACTTCTTAATAATCCTGTCAAAGTTTCCGAGAACAAAATATAACATAGATCCTTTTATAGAGAGAATCAGAGTCGTGTTTCCATGACATAGAGAGGCCTTTTTTTTCCACTTCCCAGTAATCACTGATCTAAGATTTGTACCAATAAATGTAACTATAAAGTTTTTATACACGTTTCCTGCGACAGTCTCAGTCAGTGCATGTTTACGGTGTTAAGAGCGTCTCTATGAACGACGTTTGGTACTTTTCAAAGTATCATTAAGAAACAAACTAAATGATTTAAACTTGATGCCAACAAAACTTGATTTTCGGATTGAGCAGGAAAGTAAAGCACAACTAGAAATCGAGCTACTGTCTTAGATAAGCACTCCGGCAGACTGACCTTCTCTTTTAGACCTCCTGTATTTATTGTGCAGCGTATACATTCATTTAAAAGACAAAGGATTTGATATGGAGACTAGAAGAACATCCAGAATGTTTAGACAGAAATCATCATCAAACATCATCAAAGGTTTAAAATCTTCTGCAAGTATTAATTGATTGTTTTATCAGTTAAATTAAATTGTGCAAAGATGTAGTAAGACATTATTTCTGTAAAGAAAGAACACATAATTAGTTTTTTCTCAGTATCAGATTCATAAATCTGTCCAGGAGACTAAACCTAAAGGACTAACGAACCCTAAAATAAAGCATAAACGAGCATTTAAATGTGTTTTTCTGATCTTCGCATGTTACAAGCACTCGTCAGGTAATAGTGAGTCGTTCTTCAAGCACTCTGAGATGTTTCTGAGGTCTGCTGTTAACCCAGAAAACTTTTCTGTTTGGGGTGGAAAGAATCTGAACTGGGAGGATGATCTTGTTTTCTGACTGTGTTTTCCATCTATTGCACTAAAAATCTAACCACTACTGACACTGAGGTTTACACGATGAGGTTTCCAGCTTTAGCGTTACCGAGGAGATGTTTATAAATCACTGTTGCTTCTCTGTGCAAACTTTGTGTTTTTAAAAGTATTTATTCTTTCTGTCTCCCGTCACTGCAGCTGTTTACACACAGAAATGTGTAATGTTTCTTTCTATTTGCATGCTAACTGTCAGCCCTTCCCCTCTTAATAATGTCGATCTTTATTTTTACTACGTGTGTTTGAAGTGAAGAGAGGTCTGCTGTATGAACGCACGTCCAGCAAACTGGATCGTGAGATATAGATAATATAACAATAATTCTGCTCTGCATGCTGTTTGCGTCTTTGTGACACAACGGGAGTGAAAATGAATGAAAGGCAACGCACAAACTGAATGTATGATACGTGCCTTGATGTGCCTTTAAGACATTTTCACTTTGCCACACTTGATGTTAAACAAACAGGAACTCATGCTGAGAATGTAAAGATGTTTAAAGATGTTGTGAAAAGAAAAGTATTTAAACTGTAATATATGTTTTTAAGCAACAGAGAGTGTGCGGCCATGTTGGAGGAGATAACCAGAGAACAGTATAATAATAGTGACGCTTTGAGTTCTTTCTATTTAACTTAGGCTGGATGTCTGATTTGATATTTTTAATAGTTTTAGATATTTAAAGGGATTTCTCACTCAGCTTTGAAATTAGTCGGATGAAGTTTAACGTTTCATGCGTTTCAAGATTTAACCTTAACCTCACTTCAGAGATTTTCAGGATGTTTTTCTCTCGTTGTCTTCTGACTTTTTCAACGATGAACTAGTTCATTATTTATTCCACACAGTTTTAAAACAATATTTGACACTTCTTGTTTTTGTGTACTAAATCTTTTTTGTTGTATTTTTGAATCAACAAAAGGTGGAAGAAAACATTTTGAGTATTGGTCTGCAGTGTTTCTCTAACCCCCCTCAGTTTGTAGATCATGAACAACCCTGCTGGTTTCAATGCAGGAGTAATTATTGTCTGAAGGTATCAAATAATGCCAACAGAAAGATAACTTGTATCCGATCATGGCACTGACACTCTGCTATCAGAGCAGTGTCTCTAAACATGAACACAAAGTTACCCTCGGCACTTTCAACACTGAAAGCGAATAGAAGAACAGAAATAAAAGGTTAAATTCTTCCAACATGGCGGCACTCACTTTTCTTCTGTTGCTGAAGCTTTTATACTGTAAAAAAAAACAACTGTTTTTGTGCAGACTGTGCTTCCTTATTGCCTTCATGTTATGGTGTCTACTCAGATTTTTGTACGGACTTCTTACAGAATCATTCCACAGGTTTGCTCCCATTGTACACACACTGTGCCTGTCACTCAGTGTGCGGTCACATGGGGGCTCAGAGACATGAGGACCCTTCAAACTGCCAACATCGGCCCCCTGTAGAGAATAGCTTGTGGGCAGCATGACTTAAACCCACGTCCACATGTTAGATTGTCTGCTTTGGATGAAATTACAGCTTTATCCACGCTCAAAGAGAGTCCGATTCCTTCTTTTTACTGTTCCATAAATACTGTACCAATACTGAAAGAGAAAACAAAGCAATTATCTCATTAAATGTATCTGGTTGCTGAAACGCTTTGTGTGGACTTCATTCATACGTGGAGTCAGAACATGTGACGACATGTGAACAGAAACACCTCAGCATGTTTACTGCATCAAGAGTTTGACTTTTACGTGACTTTAAAGATTTCTTTTTGGGCATGTTGTGCCTTTAATGGAGAGACAGGACAGTGGATAGAGTCAGAAATCAGGGAGAGAGAGAGAGAGTGGGGGATGACATGCGGGAGAGGAGCCACAGGTGGGATGCGAACCTGTGTCGCCCACCTGGAGGGCTACAGCCTCCATACATGGGGCGCGTGCACTAACCACTGCTCCACCAGTGCCCCAGAAGTTTTTTGATGATTCCTTTGTTGGATTTGTTCAGCGTATTAAGTGAGTGTTCACTAATCAAAGTAATTTAGGCCTAAATAACATCCATAAAGTGCAGGAAGCCTGAAGAAACGGAGAGGAACAGTAGTCAACACCACCCCCATCATCCTCACACTTTTCAATTAGTGTACATGCAGACACCTCAGCGTGGCGAGCATCATAATCCCCCAGAGCAGAAGAAGAAGAGCATTAGCGGTCGTATGCTAACCACATTTGTCCCATTATTCATGACAATTAATTGCTTCCTCCTCGTTCTCTTTCCCAGAGTGTAATATGAGCGAGGACTTAAAGCTGTCATTCAAATATCACTGTGACCTTTACGGAAAAAAGGCTGTTATTCACCCTGTTTGGAGGGATGAGGTTCAGTGTGTGTGTGTGTGTGTGTGTGTGTGTGTGTGTGTGTGTGTGTGTGTGTGTGTGCGTTCTTCTATTCTTGTGAGATCTTCTGCAATCTGACCCCCCTTTGTTTTACATTTATAAAGTGACAGGTAAGCTAATCATCATTTATGTATTAAATATAATGTAGTTCAAGACGATTATTTAGAGGATGTAACAGCAACAGAACTTTAGTTAATACATTTTTAGCATATTTTCAAAAATAACTTGCCCTTCTTGTCCTCCTTTTTTCTAAATGAGAAATTATTGATTAATGTGACTTTAAATATTTTGCAATATTTAACATCTAATGTCATAATTTGTGTCCTTTGTGGTAATTGTGAAGTCCATTACTCTCCTGTTATCTCCTTTCTAAGGCCTGCAAGCTCAAGTGTCAGTGTTTTTTAATCAGAAAGAGGTAAGTGGAAAATAATCTGCTTTTTTCCTGCTTCCCACAAACAACTTGTTGCTAAATAATTATTTTTTTTATTGAGTTTTAATTAGAACTGTGCGTAAGAGCGCAGGGGACCACACAGCCCCAGAACAGCTCGACAAACCCTTCACTTATTCAGCTAATAATTAATGTAAATAAGAAGATAATTAACTGGGAAATTAATCACATCGACCTCTAAAGTTCAAATATTGGTATGGGAGATGGAAGACGAGCACGCAGAAATAATTTATTGGTGTTATTTGTGCCTTTAAGACTGGTTGCAGGGAAATATCATCAGATTTTGAGAATCACAACTCAATGTTCAATATACCCAAGTATGAGAGGAATGTGGGTGCAGAAAGGAGGGAAATAGAGGAGAAAAAAAGCCCTGATCTTCAAATAATGGTTCAAACCTTTCCTTTCCTGTGCCGCTCTTGAACCTCTCACAAAGGTGTCCTGACATTTACCTGGGTCACTCTCAGGCTTTGTGTGCGGGCCGGAAGCTCTTTCAGCGACATTTCAATAGACACCTGCCAATCAAACCAAACAAGGAGAATTTAACATCCTCAAATCCAAGAAATGAGGAATATAAGCATCAATATAACAATAAAATCCTCTTTTTCTGTAAAACAGAGTCTGTTTGTCTCAACATGTGTCCAACTGGCGCCATCAGAGCCTAAATATCTCCATGTGGACAGACACTTCAGTGTGTCTTGTGACGACAGTGGGTTCACTGCGGTTCCTCCCACGCTGTGTGAATGAAGCATGAAGAGTCCTCTTCATCCCCGTCTTCTTCAGACTGTGTGCCATCTTGCATTGCTTCCTATCTGCCCGGCAACAATGGTGCCTTTCACACTGGAATCTGTTCATGAGTCATTCACTTGAATGTCATCAGGCTGTGAATGAAAACATTTGACGGGAGTCGTGTGACTTTGGAAGTCATTAGTTTTATATTTATATTTTACCAAAAATGTATAAAGGGTTTTTGTTATGCGAGGGTTTTTATTTTGTGTTGCAATTCAACAACCTTACAAATGATGAACCGTGATTTTTTAAAATCCGGTTTGAATAAAGTACAATAACATTATCCTCTGCATTACTATTCATATTAACTCTACCTGCAAAGTGAACACAAAATACTCACAAATCTGAGGAATAACTTGAGTCAACCAGTGAAAACTTATAGATGCAGCCACTTCCAAACTCCTAATTTGCAACACCAACACCTCGTATATTTAGCTTATTGATTGGTAGGTTAAATAAGAGGCAGATATTCTATCTTCAATCAGATGACTTTAATGTAACTTCTGCACTTTACAACCACAGACTGTAAATATTACAATATAGCTCACCTGGAGGTTAACAGGTCAGGTCTAGTTAACCGCTGCATCATGCATTCATATCACACTGCTGCCCTCTGCTGGCACTGGGTTACAATTACATCCAACAGTCACTATAACAGAAATGTATCCTCTTTTTAACGATTCAGCTTTTTTCCCACCACATAAAAGTGTGGAAAAATAGAAATAGTGCAGTTACTTCTGTATAGCAGACAGTAGTTTACCTACCAACATTGTTTGAATTCAGATTATTTTCAACCATCTTTTATACTTATCTCAGAATATGTTAAAACAAACTAAATGAAAAGACTTAATCATTTGTAAATGTTTGGAAATTAAAGTGACTACACCTATAACTACCACAAGATGTGTTTGTAATGTCAGTATAATATTAGTGTTTTCTTTGGTATAAAAGCAGGAGTGTTTGGATAATTTCACTAATAGATCAATCATTTAAACAACAGTATCTATCCACAGATTATAAATCTAAAAATAAATGTTTTATTTATTTTCGATGTTTTACTTAATTTTGTTATTGTTATTGTGTCTCCTAATTCACAATGAGTTCTCTACGTCGATACGACCTCTACCTGGGAGTGACACGCCCAACGTCACTTCCGCTGCTGCGCATCACGCTCAGGTGTGCTCCTCAGGTGTGCCAAAGTTAATATCAACCCTGGACCACGCGAGCGGATGACGGGTGTCCGTCATCCGTCATTTTTTCTTGTTTTCTTCTTGTTTCTTTGTACAGGTGTGTGCAGGTGTTTCCTCGCTCTGTGCTGTAGCTCCGAGGTAAAATGATTTTCTAAACATTACTGTTCACAGAGCTCAGAGATTAAATGTTCATCTTGACAAAGTAATATGAATAAACTTCATTTATTTCATTTAAAAAGTAAAATCTCTTCATCCAGCCTTCTGTGTTTAATTTACTCAAAGAAACAGCAGTCTGATTCATTTATTATTTAAGTGCAGTAACCAACAACTAACCACCAGAGGGCGCCCTCTCTATATAAAGTGGTCAACATCACTGGTGAGTCTGTTCGATCTGGATCTGACGCACAAACCGCGTCGGCACAGATGCATACACAAAGAAACTGTCAGAGCCGAAAGCAGGGGCTAAAACAAAACACGCCGCTGTCAGTCCCGTAGATTGTAGTGAATTGCCGGACCCGCCATCCAGCGCTGAAACGGAACCCAATTATGCATGTGGACAAATACAAACAGTCGGAACCGAAAGCCGTATCTGTGTCAGTGTGCACCGCCGAGGGAACCGCTGAAGCGCGTCAGCAAATGGGCTTTGGAGAGACTGTATGCCGCGCAGGGCAAAAGCAAAAACAATTGCTGTTCTTTCAGACAGTAAACCATGCCAAAGTGTTATGGAATTTAAAACCTAAAGGCATTCATGGTGGGCATTTAAACATCCGAAGTATAGTTCCAAAAATAGATCAGCTTCACTCTTTGTTATCAGAATCAAACTTGGACTATCTTTGCCTCACTGAAACATGGCTGCATAGCAATATACCAACTAACATGATTGATGTCCCTGGTTATGCATGCTACAGAAAGGACAGACACTTAGGTAGGGGTGGGGGAGTACTGCTTTTTAAAAAAAATTAAAGATAGGTTTAAATGCAAACAAATACAATTAGAAACTCCTCTTGAATGTTTAGCTCTTAATGTTATTCTTTCACCTCAAATGAATTTTAATATAATTGTTCTGTATAACCCACCGTCATCTAGTGTTTCCTTTTACAATGAACTTTAAGATGTATTAAAGAGGTTAGATACTTGCAAAGAAACAATGATGATGATGCAGTTATATATGCTCCTGCTTAGTCACCAAGCAAGGCAGCTGAGATCCTAACTGAGTACCTTTGCAATATCCATCAGTGGCTGGAATGCAACCATCTTGTTTTGAATCAGAGTAAAACAGTTTCAATGTATTTCTCCATTTGGAAAAAGTGCTCACCTGGAAGTTTTAATGTTAAGATACAGAATAGAGAAATAGAGGAAGTTAGTGAGTCTGCGACCGCCACCACGCCAGTGTCTGGCTGCCTTTACGCGGTTCTCTGACCGAGTACTGCACGTTATTTTACTGCAGTTTAGAGATTATTATACGTGTCAGTATTATCAGTAACAGTATATTTCATTAGCAAGCAAATTAAACTATTATCTGTTTTCACATAGTCTCCTCCTCCAGAAATATATATATATATATATATATATAAATTGTCTTTACATACGGCGTTAAGCTGCTTGCAGCACACACTTTCCACCTCTCTGTGCATCATCCTGCACTCTCCACAGGTGCACCTGTTCAAATATGGTTTAATTAACAGTGACTATGATATCGTATATGATATAGACTAAACAAAGATGAAGGACAGACAGGTCTGATAGAGGAGCTGAGGCCTCCATTGTCAGGTGATTTATGTATGACAGTAGAGAAGGGAACGTCTTTCCACGAGTGGGCGTGGCTTCGGCACATCCTATGGAGAGAACAGCTACATTTCTCATGATTTTGAAGCTACAGTCTATGTTTTGAAGCCAAGCGGCAAACTCCAGTCTCGAAAAATGAAGCCAATGCGGAAGTAAAAAAAAACTGCAGTTCGTCGAGTGTCCACTAGAGGCTGGCTGCAGAAGCGCCGGGAGTGCCATAAGCCCACAGCCAAAAAAGCCCATTTTTACCACAGGAATCAACATGTTTACAGCCTGGTTCAAAAAAACTAAATATATCTGATAAGTTGACGGCCCCTTCTCCTCACACTGTGTACACTTTATAAAAAATAACAGTACACAACATTATAAAAACTGCGGGCTAAATACATATACATCTTTTATTGATAAAAATATTTCTGATTAGTTAATTCATTTTCCACATGCACAATGTTTACCTGACTGTATAGTCACTCAGTATGCAACACACCTTGAGTAAAATAAATAAAATGGCCTTATTGCACCTCAAGTGAAGGTGTAGGCCTACATAGTGTATATACCTATTTTTTTAATTATTTTTATTCTTGTATTTAACTAAATTATTTACTGGCTAAATATTGTTATGCTATCTATTGCTGATGACCTTTGCCCTCTTCCGTAACAACCTCATTTCTCCTCATTTGGGGGATCAATACAGTATCTTATTTTATCTATGATGCATGACTGCTAAAATAGTTTCAGTCTCTACAAATGCAGACATTGTGGAGAAACAGGGACAAGCATCATGTTTTTGTTCGAGCTCACTCTGATAGTTATGAGCTCATACATTTGACTTATATCATTTTATCTCCTAATTCTAACTTTCTGTCTCTCATATTTTACTGACTGTCTATTGGTTCAATCCCGCAAGTTCAACAAGGTGTAAATATCGACACTCTTGTTTCTCTTGGACAAATTCAGAGAATGATCTAAAACCACTCTATCACAGTGTGCCAATATTTTTTTTTTACTGAGACTCATCATTTTATGCTGTAAATGAGGGAACCCGTACAGATTTTTGAGGTTTTAATTAAAGTTTGAATGACTTGAAATCTAATTATGACTGTATTCTCTTTAGGTTTCTTGTGTTTGGTTGCACAAAATCTGCAGTCATATTTCTGTACAATTCTGTGAGTGAAAGTGTTTAAATGTATGAAATATTCAGACGTTTAAAAAAAAAAAGGAAAGACATAATTTCCCAGGCTGCTCCTCTGCTCCCACCCGTCACCACTTAATGACTTCTTTAAATGTCAGCGTGGAGGAGGTCGTAATACACGTCAGATTAAAACCTCATTAAGTCATGAGGAGATCCTCCTCCAACACCTGCAGGACTCACGTACAAAACTGTGACTCCTGTTGAAGAGGATCAGAGAATAAAAACATGATTGAAGAGGTTTTTACCAAAGTGGGGAAATGAATCAATTGAGCTCGTTTCCAGTTTTTTTTTTGTCACAAACTTCCTCTGAGCATCAGAGAGGAAGACGAGCCCGGGGCGAGCTGTGATATTTCAGTGACCTGCCCTTTGCAGCACCTCTCACAGAATCCTCCTCCTCCATCCTTTCCTGTCTTTTGTCTTCCAGCTTGAAAGAAAGGGAAGAAAAAGACAAATCACAGCAGAGGGGTTTTTATTCTAATATCTGAAGGTCAAAGAGGGCCCACAGCGTCTGATCTCAGATTCCTTCCTGTGACCTTTGACCCCGGAGGCCCTGAAGCTGCAGCTCGAGCTCACTGTGGGGTGAACGCTGACATTTGCTTCTAATTAAATAAACCCCGAAATATATGCATTCATTTGAAATATGAGCATCTTTATCCAACAGGGCGACGGAGCAGATGCTTGTGGTTGCTTGTCTGTTTTCCTGCTGACCACCTACACCTGCAGAGAACACCTCCACCTGCAGGATACACCTCCACATGAAGGGACCACTTCCACCTGCAGGGAACACCTGCAGGACATTCTTGCAGAATTGTTTATTATTTAAATTTATTGACATGATCTGTTGTTGGCATATTCATCACTTTCTTTAATCCACAATAACCAATAATGATGATAATGATCTATTACAGATATTCATTCTGATCCATCATACTTAATTTAGGCTTGCAGGACATTTTGTGGCGTTCTGGCGCCATCTGGTGGACAAACTAGGCAACTGCCCCCAATACCCATTTTAAGTTAGTAACGAGAATATGAAGAGATTTATGACCTTAACAGAAACACCGCATCAACAAAACAATAACGTTCATAGAAAGGTGGGCCACATACGGCCTCCCTCCTTATTCATGGCCCGAAGTCTATTTTAAATATCAATAAACTGAAAACAGCGTCAGAAATCCAGTCACATCCACAAACATCTTTATGTAGTTTGATAGCAGCATGAAATAAATGATGCAACATGGAGCAACACACTGAACAAATACAGATAACTGAACCCAGTACTAACTTCATTACCTCTAAAAACATAATTCAAGATGTCTTCACAGACCTGCAGTTTGATTGACAGTGGGCTTAATCATTAAATCATCACCAGGACATTTCTGAAAAGAAATGTTTGCAAGAAAACAAATCAGCCTTTGAAAAGAGACCCTCAATGTAACTTTTAATTAAGCTTTTCAGACACTCTGATTGGCTTTTCCAAACCAGTAAATGATTTATGAGTTGAGCTTTTCCTCATCCACATATATATTTATCTTTAGTCAGAGGAATGAGTCCTTTTTTTTTTTTTAACCTTCCCTCTTCTGTGTCGTACATTCATGAAGGAGCTGTCAATGATGAAATCAATCATCTTGTAAGGGAGCAAACTGCTTCCCTCTCGAGTCAAACGTCTCTCATTCATTCTGTTGAGTTATAGAAAAAATGGGGCGAGGTGTGTCAGAGTCGACCTCGGCTGATCGACTGCAGGACGGCTGTGAGGGGGCTGAGTATCGATTGGCTGATGCAGGAAGTCCTCGTGTGTATGAGCTGTGTGCTGGAAGGAGGAGGAAGATTTCTACTTGTGAATCCGTCTCTTCTTAAACGACAAAAGAATAATTCAACATTATTAAAACACTTATTAGAGTTCAGGCTTTGTATCTTTTAGCCTTAACTTCCTTATATGCACCATCTTTAAAAGTCAAATAAAAGACTTTGTGAAAAGGATGGCTCCTCTGTTTTGCATTAAGTTCCCTAATACGACTAGAAGTTTAATGAGAAGTATTGTATCTGGATGTTACGTTAAGTTAAACTGCGTTTCCACCTGTATTAATGTGATGTAACTGTAGCACTCTACAGCACACCAGTGAGGACGGCTTCATGGATTCTGGATGTTACTTTGAGTCAGTGTTGAAGTTTTCAGACTCCTCACCCCAAACCTAAATAAATGACCGTCCTGTGAAGATCCTCCACTAGAAGAAGTCCTGTATTTAAACTCTTAAACGTGAATGTTGCATTTGTTAAAGAAGAGCTAACTTTAACTACTTCATATACTTTTGAATAAAGTGTAACCTACTGAATTGCATAAAGTGTCATTAAATCATTGTAACATTACTTTCCTCTGAGAAATGTGTAGCTCTAAATATCGATGTATCTCTAATCTAAGGGCTGAATATTTGATAATTAATTGCTCAACATTTCTCAGCCTATAAAAAACACTTAATATTGCAGATTTTAACCCACATAATCTGAACTAACCTTCAGTGTAAGCACAAGTGTAACATGTTCTTCTTGCACAAACATCATGTGAACATATTTACATGCAAACATCTTCAGAGCGTCTCGTATCTCGCCTTCATTTGTTTTACAAAACAAGCGTCAAAATGACAACAAACAGCAGAAATGAAACTCTAAACTCTGGGCCTTTCTCAAACCATTCCCTCTGACATCACGTCCACAGGTGATTCGTTTTTGGAAGTCCCCGAAAATCATGAATCAGGATTGATTATGACGTTAACTTTTTAACATCTACATCTATGACACTATCTTTATATGTCATTTAAAAGCTTTTTAGTTTGTGTGGTTGATAAAACAGAACGTTGATGTTCAGAGCGTCTCCATGACGATTAATAAAAGGTGTTTTTTCGTTTGTTCAGTGAGTCAGCAGCGGTGCAGACTCGCTGTGTTGGAGGGTTTAACAAGCCGCTCTCACTCCATGCTCGGAGGTTTTGGACGACACTCAACGTGGTGGACTCTTCATCCAAGCACGCTAACAGAGTTGAAGTGTGCAGGGAGAGGGCGTCCAGAGCGGTTTGAGAAAGGCCAGATGACTGCAGCGTTTCAGTCGACAGGCTTAAAGGAGGCGGAGTTAAAGACTTAAAGAAATGCAGCAGAGCGGCGCTGTACCATCCATGAAGGCACCGCTGGAGCAGCTCTGCAACCAGCAGCTTTTTATTGCTTCAATTAACTACATTTCCCATCAACACTGAGAGGAAACTAACAATCGAGTAAAAAAAAAGTCCACTCCAAGACTTTAACCAGTTATTTGAGGACGTTATGATTATCTAATAAAAGAGTAAAAGGACCAAACATATCTGTTTACATGAACAACTAACATATGCATCATTTAATGTAACTTATTATTTAAGAGTTAATCAAATGTTCAAGTATTAGTTTGAATCACGCTTAAATTTCAATATTCTCTTTGTACATATTCTCTATAGTTACATATGATACACCTGTGTTCATGTTAGTTCTGTACATATTACTGATCAGGGATGAAGGGTACAGATTAACATTAATTTAAACGTAAAAATCAACAAAGTAGGGAACAAAAATGGATTAGAGGACAGGATTTGGCCGACATGCTGGGAAACATTTACAGCGAGTCTTTGACTAAAGAAGAAGAAGAGGCAGGAGCTGAAATTCAGCCGGGGTTTTTTTTGTACGAGGGGAAATGAGTTTGGCTGCAGTTGAAAAATGTTGAGCTCATTAAAAGCTTTGCAGAGCTCCAAAAGAAGTCCACTGTTTTGATTTGATGCTGCAGAAACAGTCTTCAGCCACTAGAGGGCAGTAGTCATCCAAGTCTTGAATTAGTTCTCGTATCGTTCTGACAAATTAGACTAACACGTCCATCAACTCTGCGTCTATCACAGGATCGTGTTGAAGAGTTCCTCAGGTAACAGCTCAGCCCGTCATGTCCTGTTCAGTCTTTCTGCAGTCACACTCGGATGATGCTGATGGAGGATGAGGCTCTGTGCAGCTGAGGAACAGAAAGCAGAGACACACATGAGTCATACACACTCACAGGGTCGCATACCGAGACGGTGTGTGGGCTGCACTCACATGCACAGACACGAGTCTGTAGGAGTTCAATGTATGGATGTCACTCAAAGATTCATGAACCAATCAATGAGCTGACATACGCACATTTCTAATCACTCCGTGTGGGCTCATCTGGATCGCTCTCTAAATGACGCTCAGGTTTGAGAAGCTTTCTGACAGAAACATCTCAGAAATAAGAAACCTGATCTTACATCAGTGACATTTCTCGCTGTGGAGGCAACAGGATGTTGAATCAATCAGGTTCTGCAGAAGTTTCTCTCGATTTTAACTTTCTCTGCCCTCGGGCTTCTTTCACCCAAACAACTCAGTTAATGGATTTTGCCTCTGAATCTGTTTTTAATCAACATGCATCCTCACCACACACTTTAAGTACCAGCGCTGTTTTATACCCATTATTTTTTAATCCATCATTGTCCACAGGCGACTTGGATCAACTCCAAACTCCAGTTTGTAATCTTTTTAAACTCCTGCAGTGCAGCCAAACTTGATCAAACCTCATTTTTAAAGTCAGGCACTGATGCCAAAGTTTACAGACATACTGAACGTGTCAGGGTGTGTTTGCAATAATAATGATTCTAGCCTCCGCTTTTAAGTGTTTGCAGTTTTTATGTGAGAACATTATTCAGAATTAACTGAGTTTTATGAAATTATACCACAACCTTCTGAAGAGCACTGAGTACTCATTCTGAAGGCGCTGCTTGCAGAGGAGTATTTGCATTTATCATAATGACTCACGGAGAACTCCAAATTTAGAGTCAAATCTCTTGAAACAAATCGGCCTCCTGCTCACAGATCCACCGCAGCAGCTCAGCGTCTGCAGCTCTCTGTGTCTCCATCTCTCTCTCTGTGGTAGTTTTATATTTAGCCGTGATGGCAGCAGCTCTGGTTGCTAGGAGATCTCTGATGAAACTACAAAGCCTCTACAGAGGAAAACTACATTTTCCTGCCAGACAAGATTAAGAGTCATGCTGCAACAAAACGATGAAGCTGAAGGCGTTTCAGAGGAGGTCAGGTCACCCTGCTGCTGTGTACGGCTCCGTTGTGGTAGATCGGCGAGCTGCCGGCTGACGTGTTGTAGTAGGAGGTGGAGCGCACCAGCGGCCTCTTGGCTTTGTCTTTGGTGCTGCTGGAGTCGTTGTCTTTGATGATGTCGTACTGCCGGCAGAAGAGGGCGATCACCGCTGAGGAAGAGAGAGGAAAGAGTTGGAGTTGGCATATTTCTACATCTACATTCTTCTTACCCCAATCAGTGTGTGTGTCATGTGACTAACTTCTCTTCTATTAAACATCCATAAACAACATAAATATTAAAGTGAAGTAAAGCGGTGACAGAGATGAGGATGTCTCAGCTGTTGCCTCTGACCTGCCCACAGCAGCAGCACGGTGGTGATGATGAGCAGCTCTCCTGTCTGCAGGTGAGGAGTCATTCCCAGACCCTCCATCGCTGGTTCATCTGAGGACAGAAATAAAACATCATCATGGATAACTTTCATTACATTTACAAGGCTAACTTTAACTGTGTGTCTGTGTGTGTTTTTTTTTATTCACGCTGGTCCAGGACTCCGGCTGGGTAATGGTCCGTCTTCTCCAGAGTCCTGAAGTGGACGGCACGGCTCGGCTGGCTGTCGCCGTTTGGCCCCACAGACTGCACCTACAGATGAAAAGAAGAGGATCCTGATGCTGAGATTGATCCACGTTTAGACCCAAATTTGACCCCTGAACGACGTGTATATCCCCGGCTGACATCAACAGAGGAGGCATTATGACACAATGACAGGGAAGTGACTCACAGAGGGACGGTTGAGCAAGTACATGGTGCTCTGGGTTCTGGCCCGCATCCTGAATGATCGTCAGAGGACAAACGTTACAAGCAGACTGAATGCTGAATATGAATGAGGGAATACAGATGTGAGCTGAAAACTCACACTGCGACCTTCTTTGGGACATTCTCAACAACCGAAGCGAAAAAAAATCAATTTAAAAATGACTTCAGGAAATAAATAAGCTTGATGTTTATCTTGTTTAAACAGAACGCTGAGATATTTCCAGCAGGGGCAGTGGAGTCTGATAACAGAACATATTAAGTTTAACACTCACACGGAGAGAGAAATCTCTCGCTAGGCGCTATTAGATCCACAAGAGGTTTCAGCCACCTGCACACGCCTACGCTCTGAATACAACGCTGTAGAGGAAGTCATTCGAGCAATATGACAGCCCTTGAATTAATCTAAAAGTTTCACGTTTGATCTCTGCAAACTTTCAGCTCAAGCTCTCCTCTATCTGCTCCCTCTCTCTCTCAAACCAAACCCCACAGGGAAAAATGTCTGTTTTTAAACTCTGCATTCTCCACCAAACGCCTGGTCCTGGAAGAGTGCAAGCTTTCTACAGAGGTTGATGCAATACAATCCATACAAAAAGGATTTCAATCCTTGATAACATATTTTCAAAGGTCGTCTCCAGTTTCTACAACTTCAAAGTTTGAAATTTGATCTGAAAAGTGAAAACCATCAATTAAACAATAAAACTCAAGCAAACGCCATAGAGTTGTTTTTTGGGCCGCCTGTGACCTAGCAGTTAGCTCGGGCACGCCATGTACATTGGCTGTAGTCCTCGAAGCAGTAGTCTGGGTTTGAGTCTGACCTGTGACTCCTCCTGATGCCCCCCCCCCCCCCTCGCTCTCCCCAATTTCTGACTCTATCTGTCCTTCCTCTCAAATAAAGGGGTAAAAAGCCCCCCAAAAATCTAAAAAGAAAACAAGAACATGTCTGTTTTTGAACTCAACTTTATTTGTCCCTGACGGGCAACTGGTTGAGCAGTTTGAATTTCCATCAGAAGTATCTATTAATGTGAGCATTTGTTGGGATAATATATAAACTATTATAGAAGAAAAGTGAGACAGGGAAAGGGATGTATACGTTTTACGTCTACCTACGGTACTCCTTTTGTTTGTTTTTTATGATCTTATCTAAAATTTTGGTTTGAAATGAAGTTCATTCATTCTTCTATTCGTTCACATCTAGCAAGGCAAGAAAAAGAACAGAAAAAGACGAAACATTCTTCTGTACAATAAGGTCAGGGTGAGGTCAAGTTTTCACACAGCAGCCGTGGGTTCAAATCCTTCCTTTGCCCTTTGCTGCATGTAGTCCCATTCTGGGAATAATACAGTAAAAAAAAGAAATTGTGAGTTAATTTCGAAATATCTTAAAGGACGTTTCATCTCTGCAAACCGTCAGCAAAGCTCGTATCTGTTTGCTCCCTCTGGATACATCTCTCTCGCCCTCTCCTCTACACGGTCAGAGGTGAAAAGTCTAAATTTTCCGTGCTCCTGGTGTTGGCGAGGCTTCAATGGCGTTTTAGTCAATGACCATCCTGCAGGACATCCTCGTGCTGACGAGCGTATTTAACCGAGTCCTTGAGCTGAAGGACGCTGAGTGTCAGTCTATTAAGCTGTAATGGATTATAAAATGTTTAATAGAGTCATGATAATGGAGTCACATTAGATCCTCCATCCTCAGTCTGGGCTGAAAACCACCTTTAACTCCAGAGATCAAACAAGTTATTTTATGCAAACACAGAAAGCTAATAAAGCTGTTTAAGGAGGGACAAACGGCTCTGTTTGCATGTCATTAATTACTCTGCTTTGTGTTTGATTACGAGTATGAGCAGTTATTAAAAACAGCATGTGGGACGCCAGCTGGTGAAGAAATCTGTGCGTGACATTTGTTCGGTCTTTAATAAGAGCCTGAATGATATTGGACTCTGAAACTGACATTATCATTCAGAGGAAAACTTTCAGGTACTTTGTTTTTATCAAGAGAAGTATTTCCTGTGAAAAAGAAACTTTTAAATGTCCTTCTTAACATTTCTTTTTTCTCTTTGTCATGATGCGTTTGCCGTCTTCTATCGCTCAGTCAAAAGACATTACTCTTTGTTATACTATCTACAAAGAGCCAACAGGAATCCATCAGGAGCGCGACGTCACATTTAGCAAAGTCACAGTGAAAAACTTCCTTTAAGAGGCAGAAACCGCGAGCAGACTCATGATGAACAGCCGTCTGCTGAAACTGTTTGGCTTGGAAAGCGGGATAGAGGGAGATGCAGGAAGAAGGAGAATGATAGAGACAACAACAACAAATCTATCAAATCAGTAAGATAGATGTAAAACTACACTGTCTGCAAGTGTGAAGCTCCATGACTCGCCTTGTTGCTGAAATGTGCTACAGATATACATTTGCCTTGTTAGAAAGTGGAACATGTGTAACCCTGTCGTCTGGAGGGTTTCTGCCACCAGCTTTTAAACTTCACTATTTAAGTCTTTTAACCTTACTGTATGGTAACACTGGATTAATGTGTGTGTGTGTGTGTGTGTCTCACCTGTACGCTGTAGTGTGTGTCCTCGTCCAGGTCCCACAGCACACACCAGCGGCTCGACGTGTTCACCTCTCGGATGGAGCGCTGCATCAGGCCGTCCTGCCTCTGGAGACCAAACAGATACACATTAAACACACTCTTCAGATATGGAAGACATTGTGTTATTCACTGTGAGATCGTCCTCGTTAAGGGGGAACATTAATAATACAAAACAACCGTGACGTTGTTTGAAATCATTATTTCAGCGCTTCAGCACAGACGTCGTCAATGCAGATAAAGTCCTGCTGCAGCTCATAGAAATGTCGGACACTCGACGTCCCTGCGGAGGAAGTCAGGTCTGCAGGAGACGAAGAAACAGCTCAATCATCAACAACAAACTCAACTTTAAAAAAAATAACTGATGAACTATGAAACTGCTAAGCTAACAGTTGGTTAATTTAAAAGCATGTTTGTTTCAGCCTGATGAATACAAGTTCAGCATTGGTCTCTGAGTGGAAACTAGTTTTTTGGCCAGATAAAATAAAAAAAACCCATAAAGACAGTTAAATAAAGAACGGTGAAGACCTGCTCTTTTTGTCAGGTGTCATCAGATCACATTGGTTATGAACTGGTGTTATACAAATAAATATTGATAGTTTGACAGACTCAGTTACAGAAAACATTCAAATACATAAATACAAGAATACATCGAGTGACAGTAGAAGATTAAACTGACATTAAAAAAATTAATTAGCTCTTTTCAAGCTCTATTTTTGGTCTCCACCAGATATGCTAATGTTTGGCTTTCAGTGCTTCTTTTTTTATGAAGAAGGCTGTTTTAAAGCTGTTAACAGCTGCCTGCTGTGAGGAGAAAATATGTTATTACAGCACCAAAACATCACATTTACATCCTCAGAACCAAAACATAAAGTACAGAGGTTCATTTAGTTCTAAAAAGCTGAGGGCAAACATGTATTAAAGACGCTTTAAGGCTTAATTTGTTGACAGATTTATTCAAAACAACTCAAGGACAGATTCATGTTGAAATCTTTTATCTCTTAAGACACACGCCAGGAAGGGTACGAAGTCCAAGAGTGTCAGTGGAGTCCAGGATGACTGTTTTAAACTGCGCCTGAACCCAACAGGAGCTCAAAATCAATCAAGACGAGAGGGCAAAATAGTCCGCTCAAACATGTCCATGGACATTTTTAAGAGTGAAGAGCTGAAAAGTAAAGCATTTCCATGGACTAAACTCGCCTCTTCAGACCTGTGGTGGGCGTTAAAGTCTAGTTGAGAGTGACACACAAGTTTGAAAGCACGTAAAAGTGTCTGTAAAGCACTAAGAGCTGAAGAGAGTCAATAAATAAAAGGGCTGGCAGGACGCTCGAGGCGGTCCAGATGTCTGAATCACCAGAGACTCAGCAGAGTCAAAGCGGAGTCTCACTCTTCTCTGGCAGCTCTGAGAGCGGCGAGGATCAGAGATGAAGGATTTACGGTCCCTCAGCTCCAAAAAAGACACAATAGACTTTTTTTCTGCATGCAGGTTGAAAGGGATGTTAATCAGGGTTTTCGATCAAAACCATTGACGCAGCCGTGATTATGCAAGATTCCTTCGATCTGGACCCAAAAAATTAAAACCCAGCACATTAAACACAAATGGCCCTGACAGAAGTTCAGCCAGAAGACAGAAACACCTTACTCAGGGTGAAGACGGGGAGAAGGGAAGAAATGTGACCTTATTGTTTTATATCTGAACCTGGGACATCCAACTATTCCTGAAAATCTTAATATGTGTAACATTACTTCAGTAACTCTTTCGTTTAGTTTACTTTATGTGGGTTTGACATATATTATATTGCTCAAGTGCAATTTCCTTTAAATGAATATAATTATAACATCTTTTTAGATTTTAGGGAGTTGTTAAAGTGATTATAAGCATGTTTATTGGTTGTTTTTTTTTACCCACAACATTCGCAGAGGACTGTTACTTATACTAGTTTTTTTCCTGCAGTGCTGCAACCTCATGCTGCCTTCAAGTGCTGTCGGACAAATCTGAAAAACAAGTTTTGAACTAAGATAATGCACGTGAACGCCTGCTCAAGTCTGAAGAATTGAAGGCAGATGAATGCATTGGAGTCGGACAAATGACTTTCCAAATTGGGAAACTGTAACCATCCGAGGAGCACGTGAATGCAGATTTAACCTAGAGCTAAGAGGCCACCTGAGAGACAAAACTCAGGGCCCAAGAGCATGCGCATCACTTGCTGCTGTTTTTAAAGCTAGGACCTGCAAAATGCTTCTTTAAAATTGCATGCAAACTTTTCTTCTGCCCAACGACAACAATCTTTCCTTCAATCGCAGCCACAAAACAACAAAAAGGTCAAGCAGAATCTCCCTTTCAGTTGGAAACATTTAGCCTCTTGCTTGGTTCAACAGACGTTTTTGAGAAGGTCCTGACCTCTGCAAAATTTGTTTTCTTTGTACACTGGCCTTTTGATCCTGCAGGTGAAGACAACGCTTGGTTTAACAGCAATTTTTAGGTCGGGAAAGGGAAGGAGTCTGTTTTTCAGCAGTGAAGCACAGCATATAAACATATTTTCTTCTAACTGCAGGTTTTTTAAAAAAACAGACTATCTGCAGGAGCAGCGTGGATTTATTTGATCAACATCCGCCCACATCACTCATCAGTTTACCTTGTGTGTGGGGTTTAAGAATCAGACTGAGGTTTTTTGTGAGTTTGTGCATCTGAAACAGGATTACTGCTTCTGTGTGTGTGTGTGTGTGTGTGTGTGTGTGTGTGTGTGTGTGTGTGTGTGTGTTTGAAAGCTGTGTTGCGTAATGTGTGAATCTCGGCAGGCGGAGGAGATCTTTGTAGGAACATTGGAACAACTTGTGAGTGAAGGAGGTCTTTGTCTGAGCCGATTCACTCGTCCTGTTTCTCCTTCACAAAAACAGAGACTCAGCTTGTTACTGAGAGATAATATGCGTGACATAATCTCCTTCAGCGGACGATTTGTGCGTCAAAATCAAGCCTAAAGACGGACATTTCTGCTTGAGTCTTTACACCATGAATCAGAATTTTCCTCTAAGAAAAATCCTGGATGCACCTTTGATTGACAGCAGGGCCGGCCCGTGGCATAGGCAGTATAGGCAAATGCTAGGAGCGCCAGCCTCCATAGGGGACGCTGCGTAAGAAGAAGAAATAGAAGGAAAAATGTGTTTAAATATCATTAAATATTATTTATCTAATATCATTTTCATGCTATCATTTAGTAATGATACAAAAGAAGCCATGAATCTATCCATGAAGCTATCTTGAATTAACATCAGTTATTTCCACTGTACTTTTATTAGGTTAAGATTATTCATGTTAAGAAAATAACCAGTGTAAGAAATACACTTCTTCTTTTGTTCTTATTTTGTTTGGGACACAAAACCTATTTTTAGATTTATTGACATCTCTGTACTTAGCTAGCTTTCACCCTAGTCGATTAAAATGTTTATTTTCCTCCTCCTGTTGTCATTAATAGTTTTAAGCTCTTGCCTTTAGAGTATGGATGTCTGAGAGCATGAATGAATTTTGTGCTAGAAGTCCTCACCGTATAGATAGTTGTGCATGCTGTAGGTCTGGTTGTAAGGAAAACGTTTGGGCTCACCTGAAAAATTATGCTGAGGTTTCTGTACGGCTCTGAAGAGAAAATAATATTTTGTGTTCACACTATATTATAAAATGCCCATCGTTTCACAAATGCTCATCTTATCTCTCCAGATGCAATCAAAACATTTAAATCCATCCCCTGCCGTCCCCGGGTCGTCTGTGACCACTTCTGCTCCCTACAGACATCAGTTATTTGTATTTATTTATTTATCAGAAATATTAGAGTGGATGAATATAATATATCAGTGGTCAAACTGGCTGCAATTTAAGGGGCAACCACTAAAATCTTGCCTAGGGCACCAAAATGGTTAGGGCCGACTCTGATTGACAGCTTTCTACACCTTTTATATAACTGCCTGTTTGCAACGTTATCTTGCGTCTTATGATGACTAACAAGCAGAAAAAGGATACCAGCAGATCAAACCTCCTGCTACGTCTACGTGCAGCATCTCCCATATTAGTATTCAAGTGTTTTTCTTTTACATTTCCGAGGTTACAGCAGGAGATGTTTAACACTCTCTTCCTCTGTTTTTGTGAAAATGCCACGGGGTTGATGGATTGTTAGTCAGACACGAGGCGACTTTTAAAAAGATAAATAAATAAAAAACAGAGTCGTTTGGCAGCGCCACCGTCGAGGATGTCTCTCCCGCGAGACGAGGCCGAGCCAAATAATTTCCACTAATGGAGACGCCTCCCACTCAGAGCTCGTCTGATGTCTGATTCTGCTTGGTGCCAAACGGTGGGAGGTAAAAACTGATTAGGATGAACCAAGCTGAGCGAGCAGGAGACGTGAGAGCAACATAATGAGGTGATTTATTAGCAGAATTAAATGGGAGATGGAGAACCCCGAGTCCTTGTACCCCCGGGGGGACTCTTCTGCAGGTGCTGGAGGGATATTTAGAAAGATTGTGTTGTAGTGACTTAAAACCCACAGTGACAGTCAGCTTAAGGCCACAATACTATTGTTATTATTGCTACTGAGAGTATGAGAGAGCAGAATTATAGAGATGAAGGGTTGAAACACTGAGCTCAAAGTAAGAGATAACGAGTAGCATAGTTTGACTAAAGTGGAGGATAATTCGTCAACATAATGAGCTCCAAGTCACGATAAGTGGTTGGCATAATTAGTTACAAATATTGGATTGATAGTCAGCCCAGAGGATTATAGGAGCTGTGCTACCGGACCTGGATGCTGTGTATGCTGCCCGCCTACAAAAGAGAGCCACCAACATCAGCAAGGACAAAACACACCCAGCACACTGTGTGCGTGTGCCCCCCTACCATCTCAAGAGCACCAGTAAAACCGGACTAACAGACTTAGGAGCAGCTCCTTTCCCCGAGATGTAGTCGCCGTCTTCTAGGAAAAGTCCTGGAGGTTTCCTTGATCGACAGATGTCCGCACCTTTGACATAATCTAACGGCCTCTTTGCATCGTTCTCTTGCCTCTTGACAAACAAAGACGCTAAACGTGAATGATCACAGATGTACAGTACAGGCAGCAGGGTGTCTCTAGGATCCTGTCACTTGTCCACGACTACTTGTTAGTTCTTGCAACTTCAAAATGAAGGTGACACTAACTCTGTAGAGAAGTCTAAGACATGGCATTATTTATTCGTAATATAAAGCCAAGAGAATATTTAAGCTTTGAGTCTAAAGTGACAGAAGGACGGACTGAGAGAGAAAGAGGAACGTTAACAGATCAGCTGCTTCGTCAAGCGCCACATATTTATCAACACACAGCGCAAGACAGGGCGAGAGATGCTGACGTCGACAAATCTCAGTCCGACTTTAATCGTATAAAACCTTATTGTTCGGTGAAGATAACATTGTTAAATAATATCCGGCGTATGTTCATTTAAAATGACACGTTTGGGAAGTGAAAATAGCTGTGGATTACAGACTTCAGTTCATTTTACACTATAAGGGTTTATGTAAAAACCTGACTTACTTCTGTGCTCATTAATGTCCCTGTTTATAGCTGCACGCTGCTTGTTTATCTTCCTGTTCCTCATACATTCATTGTTGGTTTTGCCTGTTTTTACCTTTGATCTCCAGATTAGTTAAAGGTCAAATGAATGAAAGAGAGGAGGATTTGATAAAAACCTGCTCTAGTCCATGTTTCCACTCATTTTCTATCATTTCTCCCACCAATGATTGTCTTCTTTTTCTCCCTAATTGGGTACCTCAACGATCTTTGGCCCATTTTTGGCTGGAAATGGTTTTAATTGGGCCATTTGTTTCTTAATACCTCAAAGAGTACTCGACCTTAACAGGCCTTTCATGTTTAATGTTAATGATGGGATCCCCCTGACCTTTCCAAACTTTTAGAGGAGAAACCTTTCGTGACTCAAACTCCTGCCCTCCTGAATGAGTCCGTCCTGAAAACCCCCTGTGGACAACAAGAGAGAAGAGTCCACTCCCCGGGAGTTAAAAAACAATCACAGATAATACATAATTCAACTTCGATAGGAGCTGTTTTTTTAGCCCAGAGCATGGCAGTGATCCAAGTATTCCGGGCAGGGGCTTCATAATTTATATCCCTTCAATTTGTATCCCTGAAAAATTAATTGGCCTTCAACCAAACGAGCCTGCAGACAATGAAGTTCAGATCAGGCGAAACTTGACGTGTGACAGATTGACTCCATTTAATGAGCAGTCTGATAAATTATTTTTCAAGCATTTTGAGGATTAAACCAATTAAGAGAGATCAATCTAAAGCTGCTGGCATATCAAACACACACACACACACACACACACACACAGAGATAAAACAAAGACTATATATCCGTACCTGCTGTGAGATGGAGTATCCGATGACGGTGTCTCCCTGAGGGACGTTCCAGGTTACCATGGCCGAGTGCGCCCTCAGTTGTGTCACCGACACGTTGACGGGGGCCGCTGGCACAGCTGTGACAAAACACATTATGTATAAGTTGTTAGAAACAAACTTTAATGTCAGTTTGAGGGAAATCCACGTCCTGCTGCAGGAAAGATAAAGCACAGCAAGATCATTTTCCACTTCCCTCCTGATTCTGGAAAAAAAATATGGCCATTATTTTGGATTTCAAGGCAAAATATGCAACATGCTGAATATCTATATAGCAAATATATATATATATATTATCATGGAGTAACATGAGACTGAAGTTAAACTCCCTCTGGATCTGTTGATCTCAGCTCAGTGTTCACACGACAGGTCAGTCGTTCCTTATGTTTTTCGCTCAGAGGCTCAAACATGTTTCATACATGTTTATTTTGAGTGAGCCTCTCCTTCTCCAACCGTTAGGCCTTTCACCACGTGGGGTTCTTTATGCTAAGCTAAGATAGCTAGCTCCAGCTGTATGTTTACAGCCACACATGAGGGGTATCAATCGTCTCAACTAAATCTTGGCAAGCTGAGGAAATAAATCGTTTCTTTCATGGTTCCCGCTCCAGATTCCTATTTTTGTTCAAATACAAGTCAAATTTACGTTTCATTAAAAACAGTTGAAAGAAAGTCTCAAATATCTCAAAAAACTAATCTCCTCCTGCCCTGGATGTCCTGGATGTCCTGAACGCACAAATGGACACACACAATCACACTCCATCATGTGTTTTGTTCTGTTCCCATCAGCCGCCTGTCCACGTGTCCTTGACTAACTTACTGATGAGGACGACCCTTAGATCCGCTCTGTCGGTGTGATTCACTGCATTAAAGTGTCGAATAAATGGCTCAAATGTAAATGTATTATCATGTGCAAAGATGAAACCCACGCACATACATTGATTAAGGCTGGTGTTAATGAAACTCTGGAGGCAGATTTAAAACCTGATGAGGAGTATCTGCTGAGAGAGTGAGATTTTTAAAGTAGTAAATCATCAGTAAAAGGATGAGACCACTGCAGCCAGGGAGGGAGGAGAAGAAGGTAAAGAAAAGAGAAACATGTTTCTTTGGGTTTTGGGTTTCTATGAAGAAAAACACACTGTAACGAGGTAAAGGAAATAAGGAATGGGAGAAGTGAGAACTGGTCATAAAAACACAGAAGTGAAGGAAGAAATACAGAAAAAAAAGACAATAAGGAAGGAACTGCTTCTCAAAAAGAGAAAACAACTGACAAAAAATTAAAGATATGAATATAAAAGATCATAAAACAGGTCAAAGTAGAGAGAAATGTAAACGATATTAATACATGTAGCAAGAATAAGAGATGAAAGAAAGAAAGACAGCACAAAGGAAGGAATGGAGAAAAAAGGAGACAACAAAATACTCAGCGAGACATACAAGGAAGGGAGATAAAAAATACAACCAGAGGAAAAAACATAAAACCCATGAAGAGAGGAAAGTAATAAACTTTCACAGAGAGAAGATGGTAAAACGAGACAAAGACAACAAAAGAAACAAGAAAGGAAGATATATATGAAAGAAAGAACATAACAGAATAGAGACATAAGAATGACAAAGTTGTGTGAGTGGTTTCTAACTGAAACGTGGTTCTAAATTTCACATTTTCTGAACTTCTCTACAGTCCTTTTTTTTTTCCTTTTTAATTTGAAGATGTATTTTTTACTAAATCAAAACTGCCACAGCTGCATTATGTTTGTTTTAGGTCTGGTGTTTTATTGATAGTCCTTGAAGTATTCCTGAATCCAGTGATGTCTTTATTAGACCAAAACAAAACTGACAGCAGCACCTCCTCTGTGCTGCAAACACAAAGAGCACGGCTCATTTCCAGGAGGCCGGAGGCGGCAGAGCTGACACAAACTCTCCAAACAGACTTAATAAAAGTAAAATTCAGTGTGATTTCAGACCGAAAGCATCCAGTGGGGCTCTGGTGGAGTACGCCCGCGAATGACAAACACTATCCGAGGCTAACAAGCTGACCACAGCTCATTATGCAAACCTCGGCTCCCTGCAGGAGACGTCAGCCTGCTGCCAAAACCGCTTCAGAGTCTTTAAAGAAAAAATCTGCTGATTTCTACAACATTGTAATCTGTGACCAAGTCCACAAGGTCTTCAATCTGCCCTGTCTGCTTCAGTTTGTCACCCTAGTTTTCCCAGCATGCCCCTCTTGCAGTGAAGGCGTATGAACCTGTTGCACTTGGCGTGTGTGTGTAGGAGGACTGAATGAAAGCAGCGAGAGCAAAGAAAGTGGGAGCTTTTTTAGCTGGGAAAAAAGCAGCATGTGTGTGGCTGCAGTGCATGCTGGTCTATTTCCTGATACTGTGGGTGTAGGAACTGGCTGCTGCGCCTGTTCTGTGACAAAGTCCTCGCTGTATAATTATTAAATGTCTGTACTAAACAGCAGCTGCAGAAAGACACAGAGTTTTAGGAAATGACTCAGAACACAGTGTTGCTGAACAACAGCTGCATGTTTACATTTCTGAATCGGTCTTTGTAATTAAACTCTGCACTCCATGGCCAAAAGTATGCGGACATCACACATGTGATTAGTACAAGCCTTTTCTCAGAATCAGCAAGAGTTATTTCTACGATATTTTGGAGCCTGGCTGATGGGATGAAGCCATAAACAAGAAAGCAATCGGGTTGCAACATGTGAGCAAACACGACTGAAAAGGATGCACTGCAGGCTGAAATAAAGGTAGGGAACATGCAACAATGCCAGTTCAGAATGTACATTTGGAAGTTCGGAGATCGGTCTGAGGCTAAGCTGTCAAACAGGTGAACTGCATGTTATGTATCAAACACTGTGCTGCTAGCTAGTTGCAGGTAACATCTGTACAGAGTGACTGTGTACCCTTGTTACTATGAGGGCATTCACGTTATCAAGTTATCACATAAATCCCCACGAGTGCTAAGATACACATCAAGGCAATACGATAGTGTGCAAAAGTTTAAGACCGCTCAAGTTGTTGTGCTTTTTGGGTCAAATACTTCTCTTCTCAAACTAATTTCTTTCTTGTCTAACAAACACCCAAGCCATATTTAACCAGCGTACAAAGTATTCTCTATAGCAGCACTGTTGTTGGACTGAACACCTTCACAGAAATATATTTATGTAGCTGGTTTTGAGCATGGTAATTATCTTCAAATAGCTGCTGCAAAAGCTGCCAGCACTGAAAGAATAATCTACTTATTCAGATCTGCATATTTTTGGACTTTCTGCAACTTATTACGACGTTTTAGGAGAATTTCAAAGAGGATTTAAGAGAGCAGTTGACATGGAGCGATTCAGAAAATCAAACCTATGTACATATATTAAAGACAAGCAGGAAAAATCCTATCCTCCGCCTACACACACACACACACACACACACACACACACACACACACTGCTTGGAGAAAAACACACTCCGAACATGTTCCTCCATCACTGCCAATGACAGAAACATCTCGTCATGTCACGGCTGCTAAATCCCAACTGCTTTCATCTGCCAGAGCCGCCACGCTGGGCGCACACACACACTGAATAGACTCCTGTGATTACATTATACACATTGAGAGAGGAGAAGAGGGTGAGATAGAGTCAGGGAAGAGATGAAGATGAAGAGGAGGACGGGAATATGACAGGACAGGGATGAACGAGTCAAAAGCTGAAGAGGGAGCAATTATCTCGGGCTCAAATCACGAGATTGGGAGAGAAAATTTTCAATCTCTTTCTGATCGGATGGAAAAGAAAAGACAAGACGAAGGGCAAAGTGAGACAGATGGACGGAGCAGGAGGGCAAAAAAGATCAATGTTAGAAGAAGTGGTAGAAAACAAGGGATGGCGAAAGAGAGGAGGTAAAACGAGGAGGAGGAGGAGGAGGAGGAGGAGGAGGATGTAGATATTGATTAAATTATGAAATATAGCAGTTCAGGTGGTTGAAAGAGCACACACACACTCTCAAACACACACACCTCTGCTCACTTGCCCTTGTTTGTCCTTGGTGTTTTCAGCTGGTTTGTTCAGATTAATTTTTCATGCTCGTTCATTTTTTTTTTAAACATTTCAGGATGCACTCAGCTACGTTTCAGGTTGTGTTTTTGCTCCTGTTTGAAGCCACATTTCTGAGGGCCAACCTCTTAAAGTATCTGATGATATCCTGGATATTCTGTCATCACTCATCGACAATATGCGTCTAAGTCTGATTTCACCGAGCCATACACCGGCTTCGGAAAAAAAATAACCTCTTTAAAAAAAACTAAAGTCATGCATTAAACAGTTCCACTAAGCTGGCAACACACTAGGCTCGATTTTGGTCAGCCAGCTGACGGCGAGTTTCTGTAAGGTCTCGTCTCTGTCAAATCAATACTACAAACAGCAGGTGTGTGGTCTCACGGTCTGGCCAATTGTCCAATGTGTGCGTTCGCAGGATTATGATGTTTTTCTTGTACATAAATGAATGAAACGGCTCCAAGACAAGGGGACTAAAACCTGCAACAGACGCAGAACTTTCAAGACACTAATCCTTGTTTTATCACTAAAGTAAAATATGTTAATTAATCCAAGACGAAAACAGCAGCTGGTAAGTGTTTACTTGTGATGCCTTTACTGAAGATTTCCCTCATTCCTCTTCTTAATTGGCTCGCAGAAGTTCAGAAAAACAGACATAACGCCGGTTTGATGTTTCCTCTTGTCATTCATCGCACAAAGAGACGAGGAGGCGAGCCTCCAGGAGATGTACATTTCTTATCAAATCCAACCTGCAGCCGCTCAAAACCACAACAGTGACTCATCAGCATCAAGGTCTAAACATCAACAACAACAACCACTGAACAACAAAAACAACAGGCCCTATGACGTTGTGTTTACAGTAGTTTCTCTCAGAGGACAGTGTTGTGTGACGTACCACCCGAGCAGGATAGTGGATCATAAATCACTGTGTGCTGATACACTCAGACAGAATAATCTGGATAATGGCTCCACACCAGAGAGTGTGTGTGTGTGTGTGTGTGTGTGTGTGTGTGTGTGTGTGTGTGTGTGTTGGAGATACAGTCACAACCTGTGCATGCTGATCAGACAGTTTGATGAAGGATAATTGGAGACATTGGGGACATGTGGAAGGAATTTTTTGGGGTTGTTTTATGTCTTCATGAAAACTTTCAATCTCTTTCTGGAGGTTTATTTTTTGTCTTTGAGGTCATCGTGTGTCTGTTTGTTGTCATTGAACATGCATTTTGTTATTATTAGTTTTTGTTGGTCTTCATGTTACTGTAGGATTATTGCAAGTCTCTTGTTGTTTTGTATCTCTGTGGTAATAAAGAGTCTCCTTCAAGTCGTCTGCTCTCATTTTAAAGTCACCCTTGCTTCACTTTGAAATGATTTTGTGACTTGGTCTTTGCAGCTGTTTAGTTTCTCCGTTCAGTCGTTTAAAATCTCTTGGGACTGTTAGTATTCATTTAGCGTTCCTCTGAAGTCATTTAGAGTACATTGTTGTTTTCTATTGTCTCTTCTTGATTGCTTTGATGCCATTTTATGTCTTAAGTATCTCTTGTCGACATGTTTTGTGTATCTGAAGTATAGTTTTAATCTATGTGGTAATTTTGAGTCCATTGCTTGTTTCTTTTCTTACAGTATTATGTTTTTAAGTTATTTTCTATCTCTGCAACATCTTTTGGGGTCACCTTGAATCTTTACTTTTTGTTTCTTTGGGTCATTTCTCCACTTTGTAGTGAATTTGTTGACTTGTGTTTCTATGGCAAATGGCATCTGTGGTTGAATTTGTCTTTATTTCTGTGCCTCGATACTGGAAAAAAGAATCAATTTAGTTCGGCAAAACTGCACAAGAACTGAGACATGGCGTTCATTGAAATCCTCAGGTAGTCCGTGAAAGTCAGAGCGAGCAGAGCGGTGAAGAGCAGCAGAGCCGAGCAGAAGGGGGAGAGTCTCCCTGCATGAATAAAGAAGCTTTTTGACACCCTCTCTCTCTCAATAAAAAAACCTCCTGAGGTTGCAGTCGGTGCATTTTTAAGATCCCAATGTGCGGCTAAACCTCAACTTCCTGCTCTGAAATCCTTTCAGCGAAGCAAAAATGCTTGTAGATTCTTATGTCACGAAATAAACCACCTGCCAATTTTCCACCTGGGATCAAAAAATTCTGACACCAAAAAAATACAAACTGGAGCCAATTTTACCTCTTAAATAAGTAGTTTCAGTCTTGATCTTATGAGCAGATACTTATCATGAATCTTCTTATTGCTACATCCACTTAATGTTTCCAAGAGCGTTTGACCTTATTCAAATGACTTCATCAACTTATGTTAATTGCTTAGTGAGTCATTCTGAGTCCTTTGTGAGACTTCCGTTATTTGATCAACAGGAGGTAGCAAATTAGAAGTTTACTGTTACCCTGTCTGTTTCTTTCGTCTCGTGCATGTACTGAAAGAGTGAAAGTCTGACGTGCACCACATAACAATCGTGGGACAAAAGAGGACAGGGTACACTAGTGGGATCGTGGGGATGCTGGACAATGGGATACATATGCAAACTTTCTGGAGTGCTCATGGGCCTCAACTTTGGACAAAAAGGAATCCTCAAATTCCAGCAACAATACAAATGTCAAAATGTTGTTGAACTGCAGAGTACCATTGAAATACAGGGGCTGTTGCAGTGTTGCAGAAGATTCAACAAAAGAAGTGTCAGCCCATTGTGATTTTCTCCATTGAAGATCACAATATTTTGAAAATCCTCCTTTCAGCAGTTAAAAACGGGATTTCAGGGACTCAACTCTAAGACTTTTGCTGCAGCCGTAAAATTCAGTTTTCAAAACCCACACACCCAAAAAAACCTACAATGTAGAGGGCAATGCCATCAAGTCTTCAAAGTTTCAGGTCAGCCCAGCTGTGATTTCAGTGGAAAGCAATCTTGTTTTTTTTCTTGGCGAGGTCAAATATGCCCCCAAGTTTTGATGGAAAAACATCTATTTCCAAAAGTAAGACCTTAGCTCGCTGATATGACCAAAAAAAGAAAAGTCTCCTGAGCAAAAATATGTTTTTCTGTCCTGTGGTTACACTTTCCAGAGATTTATCTTTGATTCTGATACTGATCCGGCTGCTTTTCTATGAATGAAAATCCTTGTTTCACCCTGAGGCAGGAGGCAGGACGCAGTGGGATGCAGCTTGGGGGGATTCGATCTCCTGACTGAAGGTGAAGGCCACATATAAAAAGTCATGTCTCACGGGATAAGGGATAGGCTCGTAAATGCAGATTAGCCGTCTGTTGGTGATCAGCCAAGGAGGAGAGCGCTGATTAGGTTTCATTGGTAGAGACGTAGCTTTGATTTTAACGTTGTATAAAGGTAGGGATAGCAGCAGTGGAGGGATGATTTAAGTGCCTGCTGCAGCTAATTAAAACGAGCCAAAGAGAGGTGAAGATATTGGTCTGAAATTCCAATCCTGGAATAAACATTAAATTAAGCTTTTGACAGGTTTACAACAGCTGTTTGTCTAGTTGAATTATGAGGAGTAAACACATTGCAGCGGCCCCCAGCACTCACCCCGAGTCAACTAGACGAGGCAATGTGTTCATGGAAAGCTGTGCTGCTGTCAGGGACATGAAGCTCTCGATGATATGGGGTCTTATTACAATACGGTGTGTGGATTTATTATTGTTCAGAGGGGTTTTCAGCCTTGTGACCTCCTCTTTTACTCCTTTCTCCCCCCTCTTAAACAAAACTGTAGTTCTAAAACAGCCGATTCTCACATTTGATCGAAGCTCTTCGACACTTTAATGGGCTTGTATTTCACCAGTTCAAATCAATAGTCTCCAACTTTAAACCGACATATTTGGTCTCTTCTGAAACGTCTGGTTCTTCACTAGAAATTCAAATAAAGTTAACCTAATTTGGCCGCTGTTTAGTTGCACAGCCTGAGTTTTTAGTGCTGCAGTGTTGGGGATAAATGGATCAATAAAAAGAGGAAATGGGAGACATTTGCCAATGTAGCCTGAAGGACGAGCTAAATTTTGTCAGCATTATAGTCGTAATTAGTTCATTTCCACGGCTTCTTACTGAGAAAGGAGTAATCAAATATTGGACACCATAAGAAGAAATAGACTTGAACTGCAAACTATAAAAATGAGGCCAACATCCCTTTTCTTCTCTGAACTGAATGAAGTTTTATTTTTTTCTTCACCAAAGTCTTGGTTAAAATAACAATCACCCAGTCAAAAACGTTAATGTTTCTCGGAGAAGACAAGGGCAAGCAGCGTAAAAAAGCCTCAGAAAACCTGGATCATCACCTGCAATGACTCTCCTACCATTAAAATGGTCAAGCATTTCATGGTAAATCACGCATATTATTTTAGATACTGTTGCACAGAAATCCATACACATCATTGCAGGAGGTTGGAGAGACAAATAAAACCAGATGTAGCATATGCATTATGTATTCATCTATGCTAGATGAACACAGCCTGGTTCACAGAAATGAGGCATGATATGTGGTGTTTTTTTAAATGGAGTTCTGAATGAGGGCTCATGTTGGATTCTTTAACACCACTTGCTCTACTAAATTGGCTTTTCTAAGCAACATTTATCAACTGTTTTTAGCTGTAAAGTCTTTCTGAACTTCATTGAAATACAAAATAAATCGTATTTATGTATATAAAAAGAGAATCAGAGAGAGAAAAATGATTACTCACTTGCTCCGACCAGCTCCGGAGTCTGCCAGCAGGCCAGCAGCAGCAGCATCAACCCGACGTCCAGGTGAAGAGACGCGGTCATAACCTTATCTTTCTCCCCGCTCCTCTGTCTCTTCACCCTCTTCATCCCTCCTTCCCGTCTTTTTCTCTTCTTTTTTTAAACTCTCCTGGCGTTTTCACTGCAAGTTCCCCCCACATGCAGGGTCACCACCGTCTCCACATCAGCTCCATTTCCACCTCTTCTGCGTCGCGGGTTTGACCCCCAACTTGCACAAAGTAGGTCAGTAGGTATGCGGCTAAGAAGTCATATATATTCTCAATGTCTTCTTCTTGTTCCTCTTCGTCTCTCCACCTGGGAGTCAGGTGTGACGCGCGTGCAGCTGAGGCGGTGTAATCCAGGAGAAGCTAACAGGTTGTCCTCGGCTCCGCGTGCGTCTAACGGGCTCGATTTTGCGTCAGATCACCGCTTTGATGCGCATTAATTCGCCTTTTTTTTTTTTTTGCAGCTCGGAAAGGTCGCAGAAGGGTTTCAGCACCTCGGACAGCGCACACACACGAAGAACAAAATAACAAACATCGGCGTTTTTCCAGGATTTAAATGATTAAAACCCAAAGAGGATGAAAAAGAGCGCCCCTCTGTCTTCTTTTTGAGCTGCAGCGGCTCTAATCTGACAGATTATGCGGAGACAGCAGCATCCAAACATGTCTGTCTGCAGGAGATTCATGGCAACTCCTCCGACTGGACGCGCACACACGAGCCTGACGTGAACATGCTGCCACTACACTGAGAGGAGGACGAGGAGAGAGAGAGAGAGAGAGAGAGAGAGAGAGAGGACGAGAGAGGGGTGCGCATGTCAGATTAACTGTTGATAATGTAATCACATTACACAGACTGCAGTACTGCATTCAAGTAATCCTTTGACACATAAAACACAAGTAGAGTCAGAGGCCTGCTGCACTTAAACAAGTTCTCAATGACAACATCATCTGCTGCCTTCAACATCCTTCAGAGTAAAAGTACTTAAAATACTGACATTACTGACAAATACTCCAACAGTCAGAGACTTTAGGCAACATTTATCCAAAGTATCAAAAGTTAATGTACTCTCAGTTTGACTAGTTTCTGGTGTTTTTGGATGAATATTACTTCAGCAATTATATACTGTATATGACTCTTTTAATCAAAGATGTGGGTTTTTATGTCTTTATTTTAGAGATAGGATAGTCAGAAACTGGGGGGAGATAAAGAGTGGGGAATCACATGCGGGAAAGGAGCCACAGGTCAGACTCGAACCTGGGCCGCCTGTTCTCAAGGACTAAGTTGTCTGTACATAGGGCGCACGTTCTAACCGCAAGGCTACCTGCATCCTCTGAGCATGCATTTTGCAGATGTAGAAGTTGAAGACTAATGCATCATATTTTAAAAAAAACAAGCATGATCAGTTAGAAAAACTTCCATGTACTGCAGATTTAAACAATGCAATTTACAGCTTAAGTTAAAAATGTTGTCTCATAAAATTGAGAGTTTTCAGGAGAAGTAAAACGTAACACTAAAGTTTAATTGAACAATTCAAAACTTGCGTACTTAACACTTGCCCACAATAAATCACAATGACATAGGAGATCAAAATTATTACGTTTCTAAAAATTAAAATGCCACCTTAACACCAACATTAGTTCTTAAATAATCAGTATAACAAAGCAGGTCCGTAACAGATTCTTGAGAAAAAGCGTAGATAAAACAAGTTAATCATGATCCCATGGTGGCATCACAGGATGGTGATATAGATTTGAATCATAAAAGCGTACACTGCTTGTCACATTTCTTCTAAAAAATGAATTTCTGTCCACAACGCATCCATATAATACCGGACAGAGCAGATTGACCTTGATTGGTAAATCACCTCTATAGACGTAAGACCTTCTGCAGAGGCTTTCTGTGCTGTTCACTGGCATTTCTCCCAGAAATGATGTCAAAATAAAATACATCTTCAACACAAAGCTTGTTTACGACCTGCAGGGCAGCAGTGACAGTTTTCACACATCATTAATCTTTAGCCACTGGATTATTATACCCCCTTTCCCCCTGCAAAGTCACACTGTACTGTTTGACTTCTGTGACTTCGCATATTGATTCAGGATCAAAGGCAGCAGAAGATCCGTGCCGTGGATTTTCTGGGATCAAGTGGGAATGTTCAACAACCTTCAGGATGAACGAGAACAAAAGAAGACGCCTTCTCTGTAAGAAGCTAATTTCTTTTTGTGACTCTGCGCAAGGAAATGTCAGAGTTTGACCTTGAAGAAAGTGCAGAGGATGCTGCAGGAAAAGTACCGGAAAAGTGTAAAGGTTAAGCAAAAATATCCTCAAATGTGCATGTCACAAAATGACGCAGAATTCAAGTTGTTCGATGTCAATCAAGCTGCAATGAGTTGAAAATAAACCCTGTCTATTCCCTGCTGATTAGTGTCAAAATCCACACAACTAGAATTAAACATGAGAGTTTTCAAGTAGAGGACTACATCTACACAAATTACTTGGACACTAAAGGATTATCCTGCACTGTACCCGTGTTATTCCTTCAATGGTAAAATTATTTTGGTGCAGAGAAGAAGCTTTTAAACTTTGTTTCAAAGTCGTCAGGTCACACACATCTAGGAAACTATTTCAGTATTGTCTTTAGTTGATGTGAGACCTCTTCCTGACATCTGCTCAGGACGCCTCCTGCACGCCCTCCTGTGGCGATTATTTGCTGCAGCAGGGACAGAAACAAAGCAGGAAGATGAAGAACATGCTGGAGGGGCTAAATATCCCATCTGGTGTGGGAACGCCTCGGGGTCTCCCTGCAAGAACTGAATCATCCTCCAACAGAAGAAACAGACAGAGAGCAGCAGAGAGAGAGAGAGAGAGAGAGAGAGAGAGAGAGAGAGAGAGAGAGAGAGAGAGAGAGAGAGGTTTAAAGTTTTCAGGATGGACGACAAACTGGGCTGCAGACACAAAGGTTGCAATGACTTCATCTTATTGTTATTTACAAAACAAGATCTTTCATCTATTTTATATCTTGCAGAATAAGTGACATCACAATATTAACTTAAAAAAATAAGTTGTCAGTTTCACCTCACAGTATAGTTGTGTTTTATTTCATTTGCCTCCTTTAGAGAAGTTTCCATTGAGATCTAAAAATCACAGTTTGTTTCAAAACTTCTACATAAATAAAGAGATGTGTAGACTTCTTAACTGGTCTTTATCAAAGAAAATAAGCCTTTTTTTATTTTGTGAACTTTACACTTTAACGTAAGTAAAAGTGTGCCTGTTCTGTCTGTCTGTCTGGTCCTCTACCTTTTTATTTCAGTAAATATAAAAATAAACGCAAGGATAAATATACAAGGAGTTAATAAAAACAGGCATCTATTATATATATTTGCAATAATTCATGAGAACATAAAAAGTCTAAATACAGGTGAATGATTATATTGCAATTTAACTTGATTTTGACCCAAAAAGGAAAGGAGACAAGGAAAGGATTCAAAAACTGAGAAGTGAGAAGGTGTCCAACGCAAGAGGAGCTGTTGCTGCAATCTACAATCTCACCACTAGAGGCCACTAAATCCCCAACACATCTCCTTGAAGAACAACAAATTAGATAAATAACCCTACTCTATTCTAATTGGGTTAACACTGGAACCTGGATGGAGTTCCTGCTTTGTTTTCCCCATTCATCACTCCTTACCACAGAAACTTCCTTTTGTTGTTAAAGTTCCACTTCCCTGCACAGCCTGATGAGCTGTCCTCTCTCTCTCTCTCTCTCTCTGCTCCTCGGAGGCCTCGTTGGTAAAAGTCAAGCTTTACTCGTGTTGTTTGTGTCAGTATGCTAATGTATCTCCGCTGAATAACGCTCCGAGAAACAAGCAGAAAAAAAGACGCCCTGAAGTGGAGATGCAGAATGAAAGGATTAACGGTGTATCTGCTTTGAATTCTAAAACAAAGCCGGTTCAATTAGACCGGGAATAATTGAATAATCCCATGCTGATTTTGATCTTTTAAAATGACTTACTTTATATTTTGTCAGGATGAAAAATCAAGCTGCAGTTGTCTAATTTTCTCAATGAAAACTGGATTAAAGATGATTAACAGGACATGAATATGATAATGATCTGATAGTTGCCGCCGTAATGAAGTCTTTCACGGCTCTAGCAGATCATTTTCACGTTTTATAGCTTCCAAATGTGATTACAGTTTTGTTAATAATGAAGAAGAACCTCAATGACACAAAAGATTAATTGTATTTACTTCTGTGAATTTATTCTCTCCACCAGGGGGAGCTAGCAGCATTCTGAACATTATGTGTGCTTTGGCAAAGATGCCAAGATTATGAGTCAACCAACTTCAGATCACGTCTTCCTCCAGCAGGGCACACACACACACACGCACACACACACACACACACACACACACACACACACACACACACACACACACTCACCCAGTGCAGGCCCAGTGAAACGAGGCCAAAGCACATCACCACACATGCAGAGATACAGTATGACTTGTCTGTGCTTTTGTTTAACCTTGTTAGGCTGTAAAACATGAGCAATCGACAGCGCAGCTTCAGGGGCGGGAACTGGATGCAGCTGGAGTCAAAATATTTTAAATATTTGACGCCTTACCCACTACAGCAATGGGGAAAGAGTGAGATGTAGTCATTACAAAATGTAGCCATGAAGCACAGCGGAAATATAACACCCGATTGCACAAAATGACTTACTAAATGAGACTGATTTATGGGAAATATATTCATTACAATATCCTGTAAATGGCAACCCCATACCTACCTTCTAATAACAAGGGTAATTTCACAATAATTACATTTTTAAAGGACCAATAATCAACCAATATGGATCCCCAAAGGTGGATACTGATGGCTGTATTTTGAATATTATGAAAAAGCTGTAAATCAGTCCTTCATGTTCACCAAAAATCCAGATAAAAACACATTATTGAAGAGAAAGACTCCACAGTTAAATGTAAGGGGCTCTGTGGTGTGGTACTTAGATGCTATTGTGCAACATGCTAATGCTAACATGACAGAATATTCATTAAGACAACCTACTTTGCAGATTTTTTAGGCAGGTATTTAGTTTGTTAGCATGCTATCATTACCTTGTTAGCACTAAATGCAGGGTACACAGTAGAGTAGAATTACTAGCGTATAATCTTCAGTATTGGACACATTTTAATACATGATAATGATATTAGAGGAATATATAAAGTTACAATTCATCCTCATGGGGACACGAATGGCTGCACCAAATTTGGTAGAACCCCTTAAAATACTTTTTAAGAAATGTCACTCAAAACCAAAAAAATACAATCCATGGGGATTCCATGACCTCGAGAATACATGTCTACAACATTTTCCATGGACCTTTAGTAAAGATGATTTGGGACATTTTTATCAAACTACAACAATCAGCTGCATTGTGCTGCTAGAAAAAGAACAGGGATTGAAAAAGTACGTGGGAGTCCTCCCCTGAGGACCATGAATGTCTGCAACACATTGTCACAGCAACTTATCTGAAAGGTTCAGCGACAAAGTCGACCTCTCTGTGATGTTAGAAAAAAGTCAAAGGATCACTCAAGTAAGTGGGATTCATCCTCTGTGGAACCAGAGTCCAAAAAGCCATCCAGCTAAAACAGTGTATTAGCAGTTACTTGTTGTGAGTCATCCCTGAACTCTGAATGAAAATGTGTCTGAGTGTAAAAAAAAAAAAGCACAAAGCTGCAGG